CACTCTAGTCAACCTCTTCCTCTCCCAGTCTCCCTCACCCTCCATGCACTCTCCAAAAATCGCTTCCCACTCTCAATCATAGCAGCAGTTACCCCCATTGACAGTCCCACATTCCACAATCATTGCAAATTTGCAATCCATCATCTCATGTTTGCTCATGGCTCCTAGATCACACCATCACCCTCATTCCTCTCATCCAGTATCACTCTCATCATTTCCAGCCTCTCCTGCTCATATGCATCACACTCCATCATCAGATGTTCCACAGTTTCCCTCTCACCTCTGTCACACATAAAACAAATATCTTCTCTTCTATCTATGTCCGTGCATTCACACTCAATGCATTTGCTCTCACACAGAACATTAAGTCTCCACCTCTACTTCCATCATATATATACTCATACCTTGGCATCTCTTTCATCTTGTACAATCTCAGGCTGTCCTTTCTTTCCATTCCTTGCTTCCATACTCTTAGACCACACAATTTCACTCTCTTTTCTATTACTTTCTTCCATTCTTTGACATCCCATTCAATACCTGTTGCGCCCTGTACTGTTATCATTCATTCCTCTCTTGGTCTATTATTCCTAGGGCAAGCCAATATTTCATGTAGTTTACACTTTTGTACTATTGCATGACACTTCCGTTCCCATTTGCTCACTCTCAAATTCCACAGGTACATCTTGCATGCCCAATGTACATCATCCATTCTTTCCACTCATACTTTATATCTCAATGCTGCTTTCATTCTTCTCTCTAAACGTACTCCAACCCATAACTCCTCTTAAAGCCTCCACTGCAGTCCATCTAGGGGCTCCAAGAGCCAGTCTAGCTATCCTATTCTGTACAACCTCCAATTTATCCAATTCACCAATCTATGTCTATGAATGCCAAGTACACTCTCTTTCCATCTCTCTTCATTCTTTCAATCAATTCATTCACAACAAATATGTTATCTTCTGCTCTTCTGTCACACCTGAAACCATTCTGTTCCTCACCAAGTACTCTTTCATGCTCCATACATATTTGCATTCTCTCATTCAAAACTGCACAGAAAACCTTGCTACAGGTGTCAGCAAGAGCAATTGGCCTGTAGTTTTTCAGTTCCTTTTTGCTCTTGTGACGTCCCCTGTGCAACAAGGTCACCCGGCTTTCATTCCATGCCTCAGGTACACATTCATTCATCCAAACAACATTGAATAGATCAGTCAGTCTACCAATTGCACTCACACCTCCATACTTATACATCTCATATGGTATCTCATCCATTCCAGTTGCCTTATTATTCTTCAGTCACTCTACCACCCGTTTTGCTTCCACATTTTTAATTTCCCCATCTATACCACTCAGATCTTTATGTTCTAGAGATATGACATTTTCGCCAGGCATAAATTCCTCATTCACTCCATCTATGTCTTCCCAAAGCTCTTTCACAGCTTCAGCCATTCTTGTTCTCTCAGTCACATACACTCCTCCTATGTTCAGCCCATCCACTCTCAGACCTTTTTCCCTATTGTCACCTCTTAGGAATGCATACCATTCCCATCCACCTGTCTGTCCATTCAAAATAAATTCATTCATGGTATTTTGCTCATGCTCCACAATGTGCTTTCTAATGATCACTTTTGTTCTTCTCTGTTGTTCTTCATACTTCAGCCATGCTTCCTGATATTTCAGTTCACATTCTTCACTCTCATGTCTCTTTTTCCGCAGTTGCCTACAGATTTGGTTAAGTCTTTTTCATTCATTCCTTGCCAATTTCACATCATATCCCACCATTTTTCATTCTTTTCTTGGTTTTTGCATACATTCTTATTGGTTCTTGTGCATGTGCTCCTGGCAGCCTCATTCATACATTCCTTAAGTTGTTCATTCCTTTCACTAAGGTATCCCACATGAATTGATTATTGATATTTGATCAAAAAATGTCTGCCTTCTTTTGTTGACTACATACTCAACTCAAGTCTCTAAGTCATGTAGTAACTATAAACTCAGAAGCTTTTTAGAATGCGTCATTGCACTAGAAAGTTTTGATCTTTTTTTTTGTTTACAGAATAGATGGTTTCTTTTAAAAGCAGGCAGCATAAGTGTTGTGGTACCAGTAAACTGACAAAAAGACCATGAAGTTAGCTAGTTGTATTATCGGTTGATATATTTCATGCCTCATGCATCACTTGCATCATTGCATGCATGACTGTCAGCATGAGGCAATGAATATATTGACTGACAATACAACTAGCTAACTTTATGGTCTTTTTGTCAGTTTACTGGTACCACAACACTTATGCTGCCTGCTTTTACAATAAACCATCTATTCTGTAAAAAAAAAAGTCAAAACTTTCTAGTGCAATAACGCATTCTAAAAAGCTTCTGAGTTTATAGTTACTACATGGCAATCCTGCCAATCCAACTTGAAAATTTTGTAATTCTGATCAGTAACTATTACTATTTACTAATATTATACAAATTTTATTGCCAAGCGCAACTGGCAAGTTAAGTGCAGTAGCAGCTGATTAGTGGTAAAACAGCAAGTTTTTTGGACATTCCTCAAGTTAATTTTTGAGTCCTACAAGTACAAAGTACCTAGATCAGCAACCAGTGTGCAGTGCAGAGTGCAGAGTTAGCAAGCAACATCGCCAAGATATGGATTTTTAGCCCAAAGCATTGCCAGCCATTTTCAAGAAGCGTCACTGAGTAATTTTTAATAAGAAAGTGCTGCAAGCAACTTTGATAGTATATCCCTTACTGAGCTTACTCAGCAACACTGCAGTGTTACTCTGCACTGCATCACTTGCAGTACACTAATCGCAACTGATTATTTCCGGACAAGCTTCACTGCATCCTGATCCATCCAACGTACCGGAAACCTCACTCAGTTACTGTGTGCGCTTGAGGTCTTTCAGATTTGCAAAAATTTCAAAGTAATTTCTAAAATGCAATAATTTCAATCCACATGTGTTTGCAAGATCTTCTGAAGGCATAAATTTTACTGCTCATTCTCCGCCAAAGATCTTTTGATATTTATCCACTTTCTGCATCCTAGATCAACAAAGTATCATGGATATAGCAGCATCATCCATTCATCAGACATAAGACTTTGGTTTAAATCTTGAGTGAATGAGAAAATCTGACACTGTCTTGCTGCTTGATACCAAGTCAGGTGAAGTGGTAGTATTCTGTGGCCTATTTGCTCAACAAATGCATTTGACTAAGTTTGGTATACCTTTGACCCACTTTCTAGAACTATCCTTACATTTTGAGATGGATGAATTATAATTATATTTTATTGGAAGTTACTTTTAAACTAAAATCCAAATAAAACAATGACACAACACAACATGACAATCATGGTGATGATTACAACCATGGGACACAGCTATACTTTGACCACCTAATGGATTATTTCAATGAATTGAGGCTCTGGTATTGCCATCTAACTATACAAACCCCAAAAAATCATCTGGCATATTGATGAAACCAATAGGAGAATTATTAATAAAACCCATTCTGTGCTTTTCAATGAAACCTATAAAAATGAATAAATTTATACTAGAGCAGTCCCGGCTTCCTTAACACCTTGGCCGCGATGTGCGCCATATATGTACACGCTGTACTTCTCAGAATCGCGATGTGTACACATGTGGTACATTCATATGAAAAATACATATTTTTGTAAAATCTTATTACTCTTTCAAATTTAAAATTTCAATGATGCAATTAAATAGGCATATTAGGGAATGCGTTGAAGTCAACTACTGCTTAGAGAAATAGTTTTATTTTCAAATGCAAGTAATACCAAAATTACGAAATTTGTGTCCATTGATGAAAGCAATATATATATCTATCTTTGCATGAAAACAAAATAAAATATTTTTTTATTGATCTGAAACTACAACATTGGGTGTTGCCAACATCACCCAATGTTGGCAATACGCGATTGAAAAACAATTATCGCACATGTATGGTTTTCCTTCACAGTCGTCAAAATATTTTTGTACCCTTTGCGTTTCACCTTTGCTACGGCACTTCCCTCATTTGCTGAGAGTATGTTGTAGCATTCATGGCAGTGCATCCTGGCTTTAGTTCCAGTTGGTTTAATGAAAGTGGGCTGTCCTCTGTCCCACTCATTAATTTGAGATATACGTCCTGATTTTACTCTTTCTCTGAAATGCTGCTTGTAACAGAAGTTCAAGACAATATATATGATGAATGATCTCTATAAGGTATATATAACTGAACTAACAATGTAAATACCCTCAATTTTATTCAGGATTATGAAAAGCTGGACACCAATCTCTTTCCATACTCATATGGTCCATAGTAATTTCCATGCGTAATATACATCATTCACAAAAAGCTAAGAGATACCGGTAGTTATAATGTGTGCAATTATGACTCAAAACTAATGTAAATTTCTTGCGCGCATCACTCACAGTGATAAGAGTGATAAGTTTAGGCGTTTTTTCCGCAATATGAGCCATAGATGCATGTCTTTGCTTGGTACACATCACCCATAGTATTAGAAGTGATTACGATAGGCGGCGTGAGCCAATATGAGCCACAATAGGCGTGGCTTCATTTGGTACACATCGCCAGGAATAATGAAGATTTTCAACCCTGAGCGATGTGCACCAAATGCGGCCACGAATTTTATGTGACACAATGACAGAACATACCCCTGCAGAGCTGCACACAACTTTTCTCCTTGCTATCTGCCGGGTAACTGAAGATATACAAGTTTGAACCTATCGCCCGTACGGCATTCGGGCCAAATCAGCAATCGCGGCAACGTGTTAAAGGAAAAAATTTATATATTACTGTAACTGCTGACACTGTGACACTGAATGATCCCTATCCCACCTATCTCATAGTAAATATTGGCTAAGGGAATTGTTTGAAGGCAATTGCATCCTTGGTATGTTGCACACAAATATTTCTTTTTTTATTTGTATTCCTGGATGTTAATTCATACATAATTTTGTTTGGGTAATTCTCTTCATTCAGATTTATGTGAATTGATTAGGCAGCAAGTTCACTGCTTTTTTGTTGGAGCTAATTAAATATCTAGCATTTGCAGTCATCCAATTATGGATTGTTGTTGCTTTTGGTATGTGTTAAGTGCTTCCCCAGTATTGGTTTTCTTGAGCTATCTAATTTTCAACAAATTGTTTGCTCCTGGCCAATCTCCAAATCTTCTTGGGAAACATGTCATGGTGAGAATTACAAAACATAAATCATGATAAATATTATTATAATTATGAGTACAACTTGAAAGCCAATAGCACTCAGGTATGGGTTAGTTGAAGTTTTCAGACAACATTATCCACCATTAACAAAAATTTGTGCAATATATTGGTATTCTGGTCAAAATACATTTTGTATATTTTAGCTCTAGAAGTACCGTATGTATATTAGTATAGGCTGGCAGAATTTCTTCTCTTAAGCAAGTTTTGTTAAAGAATTTACAAAATAAAATGTACGAAGAAAATGTACAAATAATTTAGTACGACTTATTGAAAAAACTAACAAGAAGCTTATAAATAAAACTAATTCTCTGGTCTTTAACAAAACTTGCTTAAGTATATATATATACATGACTGATATGTGTTTGAATCATATCAGAATGTTTTTCTTCAATTAGTGGTACATGGCAAGTTAGAAATCATGTGTCATTGACATCAATTGGTATAAAGTTACTTCTAGATGAATATAATATTTTCTTATCATTTTCTTTAAAAATCTCCTCTACCAGAAAACTACTTCTCTTTCTAATGGCATTTAGCCTCACAGGAGCAAAATTTAAGTTTAAAGTTAAGCCTGGAATGTTTCTTCAACTTATCAAGAAATGTCTTTGCAGAGGCAATTGAAAATAACTAATAGGTTTTTAATTAATAGTTCCCTCCTTAGTGGATTCAGGAGTAGTGAATCCATGGTCTATTTATATATATCTGTTGAATAGATCAAACTAAGCCTTACAGCCACCAACTTTTTATTCAAAGTATTCATGCATATTAATTGCTTACATTCTTGATAACGTATATCAACGTGTTTTTAGTGGCTAAGTCATATTTGGCTTTCAGTTTGATAAAATATTATATCTCGTTCAGCAAAATAATAGACATGTATATTCACTCTTTTGATTTCAAAGACATTAAATCATTAAATTGCAGGCATTTCCTCCCATTATCTCATGTTATGTTGACACAACTTTATAGACTAATGTCTTCTTGTTTGCAGGTAACCGGAGGTTCAAGTGGTATTGGACTTGCTGTGGCCCAGGAAGTTGCTCGCTTGGGAGCTCATGTGACTTTAGTAGCTCGGAACCAAGAGAAGTTGGTTGAAGCGCAGCAAACTGTTCAAGCTACTGCAAATAAGGCCAAGGTGCTAATCAGGCCATGTGAGTAGGTGTATTTCACTGTAATGTAATTTTGCCTATAATTGTTACAGATGCTTTATACATCACCATTAAAATTATTTATTCTTTGTTTTATGTTTATCTTATAGCATATTTTTCCTGTGTTTTTTCATTTTATTTATACTAAGTAATTTTCAGCTTCAAGCAACTTCGAATATTGTATCTTATTTCTATGGAATGGATGTCCACACTTAATTGTCATTCAGACCTTAGTAAGGTCTTGCTGTCAAGCTTAAGAGCTTGTGGCATCATTTTACACTTGTTGAAATTGAACACATGATTAGAAGTGTATTATTCTTTTGATGCTCTTTGTTCATAGTTGTTTGTCATTAGGTTTTCTAAAAGCATTCTATCTTCATCCTACTGACATCTATAGACAAGACATGCAGACTCAATATTTGATCAAGATTGTAATGGTCATTGTGTTTCTTGTCAAAAAATATTCAACAATGACGACATGAGTAGGTAGTCAGTGTTGTACTCTGACATGCATGCTTTCTAATTGGTCTCAGCTTTTTTTCTCTTGATTCTTGTTCAAGATAATGGATCCCACTTAGATGTTATACGTCTAATTGTTTGATGTTAGTAAAAGATCACAAAAGGTTACTATGGCTAACATAATGTTCAAAATTTTTTGCCTACAGCATTCTTTATGATTGGCATTCTGTACCAGCCACAGCCCTGTTCTAACCTGCTCCAAGATCTTACATGAATATCTATACTTAATTATTTCTTTACGATATTTCTCAAATGATTAATCCTCAAAAAATTCACACTTTTAAAACAGACTAGATATTATTTTTTTCATGAAGGCTTTGGGATCAGCTGATTGTCTATTAACTGAGCAAATTGCTTCAATTTTGTGGCTCAGAATCTCATGGGGCAATATATTTGAAGGCAAAGTTGGACAAATGTTTGCACAGGAGTCTTCTTGTTGTTGTGAGTGAGACTTGAACACAAGTGGCACTATTACCTGCCTCAGCTTTTGAATAATTGTTCTAAGAAATTTTTGCGACTAATCATCTAGGACACTGATTTAAATTAGTAACTGTATCATCTTGTCCCTTGATGCTTGCACCAATAACGTTCAACAAATCCAAAAAGGACTGGATGAAACTACCAATTTTATTGGCCATTTGTACTTCCAAAGCAGAAAAAGATTATCAATTGCAGTGAAGGTTTCAATTGATTTTAAGGAACGTGATTATTGTAAGAGAGTACGTAGAGGAAACTAGGAGGTGGTAATTTTATGTGAACCAATGAGCAGGTGTAATGATTGAATTCTCATAGATTTTTACATAATTTAATGTGGAGATGTATTCCTGATGGATCACAAGCACATTCTGAATAACATGACGCATTGAAAGATTGTGATTGAAGGCTACACCTGCAGGCTTCAAAATACGTAGATTAATAGTCTAAGCTATTATTTGAATCCAATAACTCTAATTTCACTATTGAAAGCAGGCTATGTTATTGAAAATAACTTGGTAAATGTTTGTTTATCATTAATATCTTTTGACATGAAAATGCTCCAAACCAAGCACTTTGATCATAAGACTGTGAAGCTCACATTCTGAGTAATCTTCTAAAGAAGAAATAAATCTAAATTTTTTTAGTCTAGGAAATCGTCCCAAAATTATTATGTGTGTGGAGTACAATATATTTCACATGTGGTGATTATGGTGTCACCGTGCATTCTGGTAAAGCGATAAAGCGGAATAGTATAAGAAATATGAAACCAACAATAAATTGATTCATTAAAATGTAAATTGTAAATAATTTTCATATAAATGTATCCAAATCACATTCCCATTTCCATCTATTATATCTAAATTTGAATTTCACATTTTAATTACAGTTTATTCAAATGAAATTGATTATGTAATGAATATTCATCAATAGTTATATAAGGGCTATTCAGCTATATTTATTGGTCTCATAAGCATTACTGGGTGAGAGCAAATCTAAATAACTCCAATTCTCAAAATGTATTAGGCACTTTTAACTCGCTGCATGTGTTTGCTTTATTATAGTTCCCCTACACTGAACTATTCTGCTCATACGAGTAATTTCTTAATGTTCAATTTAACTGTGCCAGATTTCTAACTGTATTCATTGTTGGAGTCTTCTACATTATAGTGAAGTTAGGGTGCACAATGGCGTGAAGCAGCACCCGTGGACGCGGCTCCCTTTTTAAGTTACTAAAATCGTTCATTTTAAGAAAATAAAAAATATCTCATGGGCTTTAATAACCTATTTTTATGCTCATTCATTTCGAATTCATGCATTACTATCATTTGTATGAAGATGAATATGGGCCGCGGAAAATATACAATAGCAACGTTTAAGGGCAGACTTTTTTCTCATTAAAGAATATGCAATACTTTGATATATACATATGCAGTGAACAGTGCTTGTATCCTGGCTAAGCTAAGCCACCTCTTGTCTTGCTTTCCTTGCCAGGATTTTGAACCTCGTTCACGACTTATTATCCAGCAGTAGAGTTGAGCTCAATGTCCAAGTTGATGGAAGCTTCATCGTTTACTAGTCTATTTCATGTTCAGATGGCAATAAACGATGCAAGTGCTCACTTGACAATGATGTACTTTCTGCACCAGCACCAGCCATAGACTTAATCAGAAACCCAATTACCCAGACACACACGCCGAGCACTAGCACAACTCCGTACAAACAAGTCCCCCCTACTACACCAATACCTACACAAGATAGATCCAGTCACACATCCGTCCCCTCTGTGTCCACTCTGTCACAGACATGAATACAAAACCAACCACCTATTCGGCTGCTCGGATCTGGTCATGCCCTTGTCGCCCCTGGTTTTGTGGAGCTCTCCCATCGAGGCGGCGGGGCTGTTAGCGCGCTGGGGAGAGAGGTTGGGCTGGCCGCAGGAATGGGTGTAGGCCCCGTCCCGCATTTGTCGCGGGACGGGGAGAGCGAACAACAACAACAACTTGACAAGTATAGCTTATTCTCAGCCTTATATATATGAAACTATTTTTTTCACTTGAAGACATTTTGAAATTTTTTTTTTTTCAGTTGATGTTTGCAGTGATGGGGTGGAAGGGATGGTTGCAGATGCTGAAACGGCGCTGGGTCCTATTTTCATGCTTGTAAACTGTGCTGGATTCTCCACACCTGCTCGCTTCGAGGACCTCTCCATGCAGGAAGTGAAGGTGAAATACTTCAGGCAGTTTATTGCATGGAAAACATAATTATTATTCCAATTTTGCTTAACCGCCCGGCCTCCTTGCCGATTCTGACCAGAAACTGGCGCAGAGAGCTGGGATCGAACCCGCGCCTCTCTGCGACAATCTTGGTACTCTGAACTTTAACCACTGGGCCACCCTGCCCAGGCACTTTTAACTTGCTGCATGTGTTTGCTCTATGATAGTTCCCCTACGCTGAACTATCCTGCACATACAAGTAATTGTCTAATGTTCAATTAAACTGTGTCAGATTTCTAACTGTATTCAGTGTTTTAGACTTCTACATTATAGTGAAGTTAGGGTGCTCAATGGCGTGAAGCAGCACCCGCGGACGCGGCTTCCTTCTTAATTGACAAAAATTGTTCGTTTTAAGTAAAAAAATATCTTATGGGCTTTAATAACCTATTTTTTATGCTCATTCATTTCAAATTCATGTATTACTATCATTTGTATCTCTTGCTTTCCTTGCTGGGAGTAAGGATTTTCAAGCTTGCTCGCGACTTATTATCCAGCAGTAGAGCTCCAGCTTAATGTCCAAGTTGATGGAAGCTTCATTGTTTACTAGTGTATTTACAACACTTCTCTTTAACTTCACTTCTTGTTTGTCTGTCTGCTACAAATCCCATAATCGATATTTAACACACTTCTACCTGTCCAATCGATCTGAAATTTCACACACTTGCCTAAATTGGAGACAATTCATGAATCAAATGATAATAAATAATTTTACAAATAAAAACAAATTTTTCATTAAAAAGAATTAAAAATAATTTTGTCTGCTAGAAATCTTCTAATCCGTATTTAACACACTTTTACCTGTCCAATCGATCTAAAATTTTGCACACTAGCATAAAGTCAGAGACAATGTACTAATCAGTTATCAGAATAAATAACTTTGAAAATTTACAAAAATTTTTAATATTAAAAAAAATTTGAGAACTAATTTGTTTAAATATTTGAATATAAAATTAGAAATTCATTGTACATGTCTAAAATCAAAGACACTGGATTCTTTAGAAGTGTTGTCTTTAAAAAGTAATTTTAAAACGCATATTTTATTCATGTTCAGATGACAATAAACAATGCAAGTGCTCACTTGACAAGTATATATATAGCTTATTCTCAGCCTTGTATTCATGAAACTATTTTTTTCAGTTGAAGACTTTTAAGACTTTTTGAAAACTTTTTTTTCAGTTGATGTTTGCAGTGATGGGGTGGAAGGGATGGTTGCAGATGCTGAGACAGCGCTGGGTCCTATTTTCATGCTTGTAAACTGTGCTGGATACTCCACACCTGCTCGCTTTGAGGACCTCTCCATGCAGGAAGTGAAGGTGAAATACCTCAGGCAGTTGACTCCATGGAAAATATAATTAGTATTCCAATTTAACTCTGTACTGTCTTACAAGCAGCATACCTTGTATCCTGTATTTGTAAGATTTCAGGTTGTATTTTTAGGATTAATTAGAGTTCAGGATATCAGGTTTTAGGTGGAAAAGGGCAATTTCTCAGATTTTTTCTGAATGATTCATGAAACATGGCATATGTTTGAGACACCGGCCGAAAAAAACAAGCAATTGAGAAGTAACTTTCTTGATTAATTAGGATATATTTATAAGCATATTTGCATAGCACCGTATCCATTTCAAATCCATTTCATTTAACACGTTGACTACGATTGCTTCATCTTGTACGGTACTATTATTTCATTTTTTCTACTTATTTTAAGCAGGGTTGCCAGACGGTCATTTTTTCCAGACAAATTCCGTGATTTAGTTTTTCTCAATTGCGTTGGCCGGCTAAAATTTATGATAAGGGTACACCCTAATTAAATTTTAAATACTGCAAAAGACTAGTATACATTGAATTATTGGCCTTTTTTCTTCTCGGATTCGATTTTAGGCAACCTGAATTTTGTACCACTAACTCCTGGAGAAATTCATTTCGTGGTACGCATATGTACCAATACGTAGTCAACGTGTTAATAAGATAAAACTGGTTTTTTAATATAACTAAAGATACCTATAAAATATTATAATATTCTCTGCATGCAACATCTCCGAACTTGATTTTTATGGTGATTTATTGAGAACCGTGAAATACAAAATCAAATAAACTTTTCATAAATAAGTCTCAATTGGTGGTTTATTTCAACAACAGGCAGCCCCTGAAGTGTCATAAAAATACTGCAAATGTATAAGAATCGGGCATGAGTCATAAAACAACTCGTGTATCAGGATGTATCAATCAAGTTAATTCACACGTTAATATTACTTTAGTTAATAGCCTTCATATCAAGGCAGCAACTCACTGATAAAATAGAATACTACAAAAATGAAATGAATAATTATTTGAGCAGCGAATGATGGACGTTAACTTTTTTGGAACGTTCGCGGTGACGCAAGCTGTGGTGCGCCGCATGAAGCAGCGAAGCGTCTCTGACAGCCGTGAGCGGCAGGGCATCGTGGTGCTCACGTCGTCTCAGGGCGGCATGCTTGGCATCTATGGCTTCACTGCTTATGCTGCTGCTAAAGCTGCTCTCATCAAATTTGCCGAGGCGTTGCATATGGAGGTTTGTCATTATTCAATTGACAATTGTTTGCAACAAATCAAGTGTGCGCCATAGTTTTAGAGTGATTTTGGGACATAGCAGTTTGCTTGTTAGCATACAGGGTGATTAAAAGAACTTTCCTGATTTGCAAGCTCATTAAAATCTAGGAAACATATCATTACAATATTAATGTTATTGAAAAAGACATTACCTGAATTTTTGTATCACTTAGTTTAGAAGATGACAGCGGACAAATGACAGCCCTCATTCTCTAGGCATTCAATTGGTCAATTTTTAAAGTTCCGTTCAATTTACTGGAGCTTATTGGCAGGTATTAACCTCATCTCCCTAGCAGGTGACCTTCTTTGGCCGGCTTGACGCCCTGATTTGGCTCAGTGTAATTTTTTTATGAATTTATCTTAAATTAATTATTCACAAAGACTGTCCGAGGACCCTAACCCCCATTTGAAGAACAACATACGTCAAGCCATCGCCAACCTGGCCGTCAATGTGCTTCAGCGAGTTGAACGGGACTTCAAAAAATTGGCTAGCTGATTGTACCGACAATAGGGACCATCATTTGTCCAATTTCCCCTTTAAACTTAGTGATACAAAAATTCAGGTAACATCTTTTTCAATTAAATTTATATAGTAATAATATCTTTTCTAGTTTTTCAAATGGGGAAGTTTCCTTGAATTTCCTAAGTTTAATGTAAAATTTTGTTACTTGTGACAGAAAAAAGGTACATCGAACTCCTTTAAATGAAATGTATAGAATTAATGAGTACTTTCATTTGTAAATACTGTGGGTTCTTTCACATCTCCATTATTTTGCCTTTCACATCCCCATTATTTTGCTTTCATACCTGCTCAGGTGCAGACAAGTGGGCTGAGTGTGACCGTGAGTGTTCCTCCGGACACAGACACCCCCGGCTTCGAGAAGGAGAACGTGTCCAAGCCCACCGAGACCAGACTGGTGTCCGAGACTGCCGGCCTCTTCTCTGTTAGTGCAGTTACTGCTTATGAAGAACTTCAGGACCGATTCATCATGTTTTTCTGGTTTAATTTTTGTTTATTTCACAACTTTCGTGATGAGCGTATGCTTCATCACCCGTGAAACTGTAGATTATTTTACATAATTGTTTGCACAGGATGATAATATTGCGCGGTGTCATATCATTCCCTGCGTTGACTTATCCGATGATAATAACACGTACCACTAAGGTGAAATTTAAACTGCAACACTTGTGCAGGCGGAAGTCGTTGCCAAGTCCCTGGTGCGTGACGCCCTCGCGGGAAGGTTCTACACAACTGTAGGCATCGAAGGCTTCATGCTCACGACTCTGTGTGCGGGCATGGGACCCATCACCTACTTCTGGGATTTCTTTGCTCAGGTGTGTTATGTCGCTTATTTTGATGATATTAAAATTGTCAATTCATAACGTTATCCTTTTATTTTTCAGCTTGTATTAATCTTTTACGTTCGTTCAAGGATGTATCCAAAGAAATACAAGACAGGATTTTTCAAGTGAAAGTAATATTTATCAGCTGATAAATCATTAAAATTGTGAAAATAGTTTAATTTCTCTATTAAAAGTGGAAATGAAAGTAATGTATTTGTTTGTTGGTTCTTTCAGGTTTTCCTAACTGGAGTGTTCCGCTTCATATCATCATTCTTCCTGCTTAACTTCGACCACATCGTCAGAAAAGAATATGCCAAGCGAATGAACGATAAAAAGCGAGAGTAGAGCGACAGACTGATCATTTTCGTTACTAACTTGCGTGACTAACTTGTTGTGAGGGAAACGGTGAACTTTTCGGTCAGCTTTGCAAATCTATAATCAGGCGAAACTCATTTTGGTTTGCTGTTGGTTCATCCTCCATTGGGATTTAAACTTCATAGCTTCGTCATTCTATTCTCTCATCATGATTGTTAAATTCACACAAGTTCATCGCCACGATGAAAGATTGACACATGCTCACAGTGAAATTCAAAAATTAGTTATTTCAAGATGGCAACACTGAGCAAGAATTGCACAGAATTAAAAACAATATATTTTTAATCTTGTCGTACTTGTCATTTTATTATGCTAAACAACGCTTCTGAATTTCCTCCGTGCCTTAACATTTCGTTCCATTGATGTGTACGGTATACATACCTAGTAGTTGCAGGGAAATTAAGTAAAAATATTTATCAAAGTTTATGAAACAATTTTTAAAGTACTATATATAACTTTGTTTTCATGGCAACAATAAAACAAGACTATCGTGTTGGTGATGGCTACAAGTTCTTGTTTCGTGGCTACTGGTCATGGTAAGGAAAGTTATTGTACATTTTCATATGTTGGTTTTGTTATGTCGTTCCAACGAACAAATATTGTTCAATATTTGTGTGATTCTGTGTTGAGACTTGAGGTTCTATCAGAATGATTGTTTGGGTGCAAATATTGTAATTGATGACATTCATCAAGCCTGCACTGCTAAAGACTATTATATTGCCGCATAAATGTTTACGGGACTCAATTAGACTTTATTTAGACATATTTGGATTCATTATCACGTCTTACACATGACGTCATTACGAAGTAGGTGGACAAATAAGACGCACATGAGGATACAAGCATTTATTTCATTCCAAGCTTCTGGGTCGCTGGTTGCTGTAGGTTTAATCTATTGTTTAAGGCTTCTGTTCAACGCGCGTACAATCGTTACGAAGAACAACCAAGCCAAGAGGAGGTGCGACGCGTCAACTGCCACGATCAGTCCTATCTGTACTGTCACGACCAGTCGTGTCTGTACTGCCACGACCAGTCGTGTTTGTACAGCCACACGCCATCAGTTGGTGCGACGTATCAACAGATATTGTGAGTCGTGTACCACGTGGACAATAAAATTATGACATATTCATTTATCTCGCCTTCGGTGACTTCCATCTATGAAAACGTACACATAATTTTTTGTTGTTCACCGACCACCGTTCTCTACTTTAAGCATCACCAGGATATTTCTCATGTCTCATATTACTAACTGCGATTTTTATCTTCAAGTTTACTCTTTTACTTCAACGTTGTGTTATTACCTTTTTAAATACATGATCAAAAAGTGCCTAGTTCTGTGCAATGAAAAAATTTAGCTTCTTCCTCAGCAGGAGAGAAGCTGAGAAATAACACCCGGAGAAAGTAGGTGCTGGAACCTCCCTCGAGGCATGATAGTGGAATAATTATATAATTTAAAACATTTTTATCATAAGCTTAAACTTTTTGCATACTTGATCTTTCCAACTGAGGACGTGGTATTCGATAGGACCATCTAACTGGAATTAGCTTCCATCGTGATGTTTTCTTTATATTTTGTTCAAGTATCTGACGTTTGGTGGAATGGCTTTGATAATACGACCTAACTCTGCATACGACCTAACTCTAACAGAAATACGACCTAACTCTGCATTTAGCACTAGCGCAATTTCCATAGTATCAAAACAAAATTTCAACGTCATAGGTCATCAACGGCGAGCATTGGTACAACTTCAGTTTCGCCTTCAGTAATTTTCCGTGAAACTCTTCCAAACGTATGAATATCTCATTTTTGTTTTAATTATGCCTTGTTAAGTTTAATTTGAATTGCAAGTAAACTGGAACCCATGCAGGATGGTAGACCGTATTTTTGTGTAAAGCTTATTTTTCTGGCTGATTGTTCAGTCAATGAAGACGACAAATGAAGTCTGCTGCAACGCATGGGGGCGACGTCCCGTCTTGAGGTGACAAAACTGAAAGCCTAACAGTGAGGAAGCTTCAACCTACAATTCTTGAACTGTAAAATGATGTCAGTGAGCATTTGCACAACATAGAAGCGTTCATTGCAGTTACATGACGGCTCGCAAAAAAAAATCTTGCTTAGTTGGGGCTAGCACAACACCTCTAGAGCAAATTGAATGGCAAAATTTCGGGATCATTGTAACTGAACAAATAAACCATCCAAATAATTTAAAATAGACAATAGACTCAATGGAACCGGAAATTAGTTGAAGGAAATGAAAAATTGTCTTCTAAAAGATTTAATAGAAAAGCATCGTTCAAAGTTGATCATAAATGTACAAAAACATCAGGCGTAATGGCCGTATAGACTGCTACAGTACAACTAATATAAAAACCGATGTATATCATCAACTGTCACGGTAATCAAGTTCACATTGAGGCCGCCACAACATGTAGCCATGTCGCCGCGGCATTGCACAATACAATTAACTATTGGATAAATAACTTTTTCAGTACTGAATTCTCATCATGTACATCAATTTGGTGACTAATATTCAGTCTTGGCTAGATAAATTTTAGCTCTTGCAACTAATTTGCGCATCAAAACGAGATTTTCTAACATATATTACAGATTCTATTTAGAGACCAGAATCTCGAATTGCAGTGCAGCCAAGAGCCCGTCTCGGCACATAAAATAAAGAGGTTTATTATTTTGATGATTATAAACTACTCACGGAACAACATATACTTAGGTCGACATCATTTGAGAGGAGGAGATTCAATAATGCAGACAGCTGACGATCACACATTCTGAGCAATGGTCGTAAATAGGCACTACCGGTATCAACTTTATTAGACAACAAAGAAAACGTGATGCGTCCGATGGAGATTTCCAACTTTCCCTACATAGACTACTACTATATTTCCCTACTATAGACTACTGCGTCCGATGGAGATTAGTATAACAGTTCTATGTTCGATGAAAAGGTACAGAAGCAAGCTAGCTGCTACTAGTGCGGCAACAGTAGCAGCTAAGATTAATTATCATCACTCATACAACATATCACAGCTTAAATGTTTTCTCACACCTACAACATACATAAGGTAGTTATGATAAGACATCAGTTTGAGAACAGCCACGCTCAAACATTATGTTTGGCAACTAAAAACGAACAAGTCAAATGTTGGTAGGTTTCCATTCTAAAGGCTTTTTAATAAATATGGCAACATTTTGTGACGTTTCATCATTGCTGACGTGTAGTGAAGTGTTTTGAGAGTCACGTGAAGGCAACAGAACTTACCTAACACATACGGTTTTTTTTATAGTTTTTCATTTCTCGATGCGTCCTTAATGTGTCGGAATATACCGCGTTTACCCTATTTCATCAACCATTGGTTGATGGGGATGCTTTCATGCTGTGATTGAATGTGCCCATAAGCCCCACCCCCAAGTATGGCATATGTACTACAGTACTGGTTAACTAAATACTTAACTGAAACTTGATCATTACAAACAAAAGGCCTGGAAATTTTTTAAAAATCCATTAAATACAAGGTAGCCACGTCGCAGAGGCATTGCACAATACAATCAACTATTGGATAAATATAACTTTTTCAGTACTGAATTTTCATCATGTACATCAATTTGGTGACTAATATTCAGTCTTGGCTAGATAAATTTCAGCTCTTATAACTAATTGGCGCATCGAAACGAGATTTCCTAACATATATTACAGATTCGATTTAAAGACCAGAATCTTGACTTGCAGTGCAGCCGAGGGCCCGTTTCAGCACATAAAATCTTGAGGTTCGTTATTTTGATGATATATAAACTACTCGCACAACGACATATATTTAAGTCGACATTATTTGGGTGAGGGCGATTCAATAATGCTAACACCTGACGATCACACGTATTCTGAGCAATGGTCGTAAATAATAAAATAGGCACTAGCAACTTTTTTAGCCGACAAGGAAACTTGATGCGTCCAATGAATATTTCCTTACCTGAAAGTACATATAACAGTTCTTTGTTTGATGAAAAGGCACAGTAGCAAGCTAGCTGCTACTGGTGCGGCAACAGTAGCAGCTGCAACATATTATACAATGTATGCAACATATCACAGCTTCTTAAATGTTCTCTCATACTTACAACATACATAAGGTAGTTATGATAAGACATCAGTTTGAGAACAGCCACACTCAAAAATTATGTTTCGCAACTATAAACGAACAAGTCAAATGCTAAAATACTCGTGGACATCTTCAACAGTAAATTTCAGCTATCTAAATCATACTCCACCTAATACAAGTTTAAGCAAAGGAAACACTTTCTTGCATCCAGTTGATGATAGAAGAGGATTTTTGCTTGGCACAAACGGAAGATGTTCCAAGACACCACGCACAATAGATTCGTGTGCCCCCTCATGAAACCCCTTTCCTTCATTAGTTATAATGTAGGGATTGTTCTCGACTGCAGACATTAACTCTCGGCGCACACACTCGGTTACATGCTCCACCTCTAGTGGCAGGTAAGGGACGACAGTGGCCGAGCCAAGAGTCTCAATATTTTTATATTCTTGTGTTTGTGACAAGACTTCACTCAGCACCTGCAGGGTTATCTCACTCCTCTTTTGACCGGTAGTTCTGAGAGATAAATACTCGCGGTTAAGAACATTTCCACCCCTCGTACCTGCGATGATAACCAAAAGCTGGTTCAGGTACGGCATCTCTTTAGCTTCTTCCTTCACTCGAGCTAGAAGCCCTGAAACGAAGCTAATAACTCGCTCGTCTTCCTTTTCATCCCAGCCATCAACTATCACTATATTCCTAAGACATGAATTTAACTCCGACACCGTCTGAGCTATGAATTTTTCCTGTGCTTCATCACCAGTTGGCAGCAAAGTAGGTATTAAATAATGCACCGAAGATTGGACTTTTACGAGATGCTCCAGTAGGCGCAATGACTTCGACTTACCCACACCAGTCCAGCCAACAAACCACACAACGCGCGGCTCCTCAAAAGCCTCTGAATGGAAACTACTCAAAATAGACATAATTTCATTAATAGCAAGAGGCTGACTGATGATTGCATCATCATAAGAATGTCTTATAGCTTCCAAGTCATATTTTAAATGGTGTAAAAACTCGCAACGTGATTGCATCCATAGAAAGCTGAACGACAGAAGGAATATTATCAACAGGAGCACAGCCATCAGTGCAGCTATGAAGCACAGCATACTGAAGAAAAAACTGCATATTCTAACACTCAAAGAACTGGTAGAAGCAGGCATCATTTTTGTTGGTGAATCTGTAACTTCATACTTGATACGTTTGCGCAAGGGCTCAATAATATCATCTTTGCCATCACATTCCAATGCAGACACGGAGCGCGTGATGTTGTCAGTTAGCCTTCTACCAGGGAGTACTCGGCATCTGGAGGAAGATCTGGACCTACCACGGACCAAAGAACACACTTTCTCCAAGTTCTTATCTTTGACGTTACTGACAACACTACCTTGAGGTTCTGAGATACTCATCTCTAGAAATTTTTATAACAGAAATATCAATGTTTTGTAATGACAGCAGAAGATAAAGGAGTCAAGTTCATCTGTAAATAGAGAACACTTATCACAAAATTATCACTGAAATGACAGAAAATTTAATGGGAAAATATCTTCACTTTTAAACCAGATACTAAAATGCAGCAAAATGGATAATACTACTTCAGTTTATATATAAATGATCCAGCAATAATCCTGTTCATTTCAATTGATCATAGAGAACACTTATCACAAAATTATCACTGAAATGACAGAAAATTTAATGGGAAAATATCTTCACTTTTAAACCAGATACTAAAATGCAGCAAAATGGATAACACTACTTCAGTTTATATAATAATGATCATGCAATAATCCTGTACATTTAGATTGATCATAATGATTTTCACTTAGAATCGAAAATTATTCATTTTAGATCTAGATGATAAAAGTATTTCAAAATGGCATGATAATTATTTGTGTAAAGATCAGTTGATTAATTTACAGATGCAAAACATGAGAAATAATTCCTAACATTGTTTAATAGGCCAAAAAAAAATTAAATTTAATGCCCGCATAAAATTTTAGGGCTGTGATAATAGCTGAATGTAAAATTGGCAAAATCATCATTTGTTAAAGCCATATTTAATGTAAGGCAAATAACCTGAACTGCCATTGTAGTACAATACAACAATCATCTTACAATTGATAGAATATATTATCAATAGAGTTGAATGAACTGTTGAGCAATATCTTAGAATGTGCGATATTTATAAGTACTACTCCATCAAGTGATTGATCATTCATGGTTGCTGTAATCGGAATTGGTTCACAAAACAAAAAAAAATGCATTTCAAATAGTTCAATATGTTACCATTATTCCTAAAAGAATAAAAGTCATTTCAATTCAAAGTGTCATGATAAGGCTGGCCCTTAACTAACTACTCTTAATATGATATTGGTCATCCCCCCCCTCTTGCCTCTAAAGTATGGGCATTGAAACCTTAATTTAAATCATTGGTTGTGCCCTGCACTGTCTCTCTGGAGGATGGATATACAGATCAAGTCCCCCCCACTGGGGCCTGCCATGTCACTGTGACCTGACCACCAGTGCCACAGGACCTGTTGCCCTATTATTCAAGAGATCCTCTTCTAGCCCTCTCATCAACAATAATGCAACTATTGCCTTCTTTACTCCATTTAATCTTTTTTATCTTTTCTTCTCACATTTATTTTCTCCTTATCTCTTTTATCTCCTCCCCTGGTTTATGTTATCATGCCTATGCCAATCATCCGATTATCATTTTGTACAGCGCATCACCTCCCATCATGCCCAATAATTAAAATATGAGCAATAAAACTCTTTAGTCAGCAAGTTATCATACATGGTCACTTAAAATTTCCTTCCAAAAAGTCCAGTTCATCCCCTGGTTAGTGTTTGAGGCTATGCTGTTATGCATCTGCTAATCTTCAATCATCTGCCCATTCATCCACAAATAGTAACATCCCTTGTCATGCCCAAGAATCAAAATATGAGCATTTACATGAAATTTTGACCCAGACAATGAAATTGATGCTTTTTCCACATTTTTTAATCAAAACCTGGAGTTATTTAACCAAAAAAATAAAAAAATTGGAGGGGGTACTCCGACAGGCTTTAAATAATAGCTCTTTTTCGTGGGTCACATTTATAATTTTTTAACCTATTAGATATGCAAACTTTTTAAATCTTTCTATTGTGTTATGTAGCCTCAGTATTAGGCCTTTAATGCCCTTTAACAAAATTTTTCTATGTCACATAGTTTTTGAGTTTTGGGGGTTTTTGTTAAAAAACCAAAAGTGGTCAAAGTTACCCCGGGAGTCAAAGTTACCCCAGTTTACGGTAATTTAAATTAGCTTGAGAAAATTATATCACATTGCAGCTACATAATTTTCCTTTGTACTTGAATTAATTAATTCAAAATTTTTTAATTTCTTCTGGCATACCATCAAAGGGAGTAATAAGGGACAATTTTGCCCTTTTTTCTTTACAACTTCTTACCATGAAACATTTCATAAACAAGTTTGGGCTCATTTTGGAGATCTTCTTGAGGGATATTGTATGGCATCTCCAAAAAATTACATATGCTATTTGTAAGGTGCCAGACAGAAAAAAAGCAACCCAAATTACCCCTGGGAAAGGGGTAATTCAGGACACTTGAAATTAAACTTAATTTTAAACAATTTGAAGCACACAGAGTGTACTCCTCCATTACTAACAGTCCTCTGATGTCCAATTTTTCCTTTGTAGATGATTTAGATATTGAATAAATGACATTTTCTGTGATTCGTACTTGTTTTTTCTATATTGACATATTATAATATCCATACATTGCCGTATTATTGATGTGATATTACCGTATTCATGGACATGCCATTGTGCTCTGACAACAACCTTGTCCACTGCAAACTTCATATCAGCAGCCGTATAGCATTTTTACTACTGTAAAATGGGGTAACTTAGACTCCCAGGGTAACTTAGACCACTTTTAGTTTTTTTAACAAAAACCCTCAAAACTCAAAAACTATTTGACATAGAAAAATTTAGTCAATGGGCATTAAAGGCCTAATACTGAGGCTACTGAAAACAATAGAAAGATAAAAAAAATTATGCATATCTAATAGGTTAAAAAATGAAAAAGGTGACCCACAAAAAAGAGCTATTATTGAAAGCCCGTCATAGAACCCCCTCCAATTTTTTTTATTTTTTTGGTAAAAATACTCCAGATTTTGCTGCATTGTAGAAGAACTCTTCTAGTTACATATGCAAATGACAAATTTGAGGAAAGTGTCATAGTTTGCAAATGGGGGGCGCCGCCCCCAAATGGGGGAACTTAGACCACCTAATGTCGGTCCTGACAGGGTAACATAGACCAGCTTGGAAATTAATTTAAAATTACCATATATAACATATTTCATGTTTGAGACACCTATTAATGTTTTTTCTTTATGTTTCAGACTCTAAAGTCTTATATATGGTAATTTTAACTTAATTTCCAAGCCGGTCAATATTACATCTTCATGGCTGACATCCACACTCAGGAAGATGTATATAAACGGTGAAAATTCCCGCGCATATATAGTTTTTTATATTTTCTTCACGCACGCGTTCGTGCAAATCACGGTCATTGATTCCATGCGGCGCAGCACTCGGCGCGGGCAACAGGACCGACACAGTTCTGATTTAGACACAGTTTTCATCTAAATGGAATGGCAACATCGTCTGTAGATTTCAACTTTTCAAGTAACGCTGAACAATCTTTGACTTTGAGTGTGATGTGCCCCTCTGAAGCTATTCTCATTTTTATTAATGTTTGTTGTTCGCCTCTATAATTAACCTTCATCGTTATGATTGTTGCAATAAAAATGAAAATTTATAATTAAGATAGATTTCTTCCGGTGCCTGTGTTTTTTATGCAATTAGCACTTATTAGTGAATAAATGATTTGTGATGTGGTTCTTTAATCTTGACTTCTGCAGTTCGCACAATCCCGGCCATCAATTCTACGCCGCACAAGAGCAGTTTGTGGAGGAACAGACGCAATACTCAGTACAGTATGCCTTTAATTATCCTTCAATAATATATGATTTTTCTTGATACGGAAATTTGGTTAATGAGAAATCTAGAACTTTATTGTGAAAGAAATTATTTCCAAAATCATATGGCAACACTGAACACCGTATTTTTACATTTTGTATGTTTAATAGCCGCAGTTTACAATTACCGTATGTTCCGTATCCGACAAGCGAAAGTAACCCAGAGTCCCGGACATTTCTTAGATTTTATTATTGTTAGTTCGACTCGCGTAGTTGATATAAACTTTGATGACCAACGAAATATAACATTTTAATAGGGAAACTTCATGTTTATTAAACTTTATTATACTACAATTAATGATCTTTATTTAATTATAGCCATGTTGAAATGTTTTTTTTTTTTGAAGCCTGCTCCTAGATCATTAATGTTTTTATATACATCCTCATATTGTTAGGGACGCTCGCCGCTTCGATCAGATCTTAAAATGTAAAAGTTTAATAGATACAGATTTGTATAATTTGCTAGCTATGACACTTTCCTCAAATTTGTCATTTGCATATGTAACTAGAAGAGTTCTACTACAATGTACCAAAACCTGGAGTTATTTGGAGTTATTTTACCAAAAAATATGATTGATTTTACCACCCAGTCTAAGATACCCCATGAGCTGGGGAAACAAAGACATCACTTTTTTTGAAATTACATAAAAACTATGAGTGGCAGGAGCCAGCAATTTATGGTGACTTTTTATTGGTGAGTGAACCTAGAGTATACCTAGGCTAGACCTGTATTTTGCATGTTTCAATTTAAGTTAAATTTAGCGAGTAAAAAAATGGCATCATTGTTTAAAAAAAAGGAGTCTAAGTTACCCCATTTTATGGTATATCTTAAGACTGTAAGCTTACAGCCTACAGGACTGGCTTGTAATTTTGTACCATTTAAATGGGTCAAGCAAATTCATTATAATAATAAAAAAGATTGTAAAAAATATACCTAAAAAAGGAATATTTTAGTGAAAACCATCATATTTTTTGCAGAAATAAATCTTAGTTTAGATGAATTTTTTTTCATTCTGTTGCCCCTTGCCCAGTGCACAATTCTATCTTTGACATATATATATACTATGCATAATTTTGTGATGACTAATGAAGCAATGATGCATTCATTTTTTGTTAATGTTGACTGTTGAGTGAATTTTTTTTTTCACTGAGCATCATAAATGTAGTTAAAAACTTTGTTATTGATTTAACTGCAGCCTTTCCTAACCATGGTTCCACTGACACTGAGTACTGACCACTGTTGATACATTTTAAGGGGTGTCCTGTATTACCCTGGGCTCTGGCCAGGCAGACTGGCCCTGGCCCCTGGGGGCAGTGTGGAATTCTAGAGGGATAATAAATTAACCAGTACACATAGCATATTGGAAAGCAGGACCTGTAAGCTTGGAAAGGCCAGGAACTTTACACTTTCAGTCCATTATTTCATCAACCATTGGTTGATGGGGATGCTTTCATGCTGTGATTGGTTGTGCCCATAAGCCCCGCCCCCAAGTATGGTATATGTACTACAGTACTGGTTAACTAAATACTTAACTGAAACTTGATCATTACAAACAAAAGGCCTGGAAATTTTTTAAAAATCCATTAAATACAAGACAATACAAGACAAATAAAAAATATAAATCAAACAAGAGACGTCCAAATAATTCTATTACAAATCTAATGTACTATACAATTGTAACATTTTGTCCACTTTTGATCCTCCTTTAAATTTATAGTCAGTCTCCGGGCAGGCTGGCAGGGCACTGTATCCAAGGAAAGCTTTTCACCTTGGGTGGAAAGCATTTTTATAAGTGANGCCCCACCCCCAAGTATGGCATATGTACTACAGTACTGGTTAACTAAATACTTAACTGAAACTTGATCATTACAAACAAAAGGCCTGGAAATTTTTTAAAAATCCATTAAATACAAGACAATACAAGACAAATAAAAAATATAAATCAAACAAGAGACGTCCAAATAATTCTATTACAAATCTAATGTACTATACAATTGTAACATTTTGTCCACTTTTGATCCTCCTTTAAATTTATAGTCAGTCTCCGGGCAGGCTGGCAGGGCACTGTATCCAAGGAAAGCTTTTCACCTTGGGTGGAAAGCATTTTTATAAGTGAACTTCCATTCTTAGAATTCCAGCCTGCCTGGGGGGTTTTCCTTAATACCCCAGCCCATTGTGCAGAAATGGCTGCCATTCTGTTTTGGACTGAGGTTCAAAAATTTCATCAATGAAGTTTTAAAGCCAACATCTTTCCCTTTCTGCACCTTTTTTTCAAGCACATTTTTTTAATACAGTAAATACTTTTTTTTACTACAGATCTTAACATAAGACAGAAGTACATTTTTGAAATATCACTTTTTAAACTTTTTTGGGGGCAGGGGGGATATTTTAGAGCTAGTAAATATGTAAATGTATGATTTCTCAACTTCCTTTATGCTACATAGTCTAACATAGATAGAAAAAAATGTTGAAGCAAAGAAAATGTTAATAATTGAGATTTGAGACATTGAGTCATTGCTGTGTTTTCAGTGCTTTAATTGCTAGAGATAACTCATCAGCTGTGAAGGGAACCATGAGGCATTGACTCATTTAGTCTCATTGAGATTGAGTCATTGTCTTATTCGTAGTCAAAGCCATAGACTCCACTAAGAGTACCTAAGAGGCTAAGACAGTGACAAGACAACTGACTACTTTTAGGACTTTAGGAGTATGAATATCTCTCATAATCTCTGAATGTCTAAAATGTTGGTGAAAATAATGAAGCTAATCAAGTAAATCAACTATTATCAACATAGGTATTGTTATTGACACGCTTTCAGGATAGGGAAATCAATCGATGAAGAAATCTAAGAACATAGCCCGTTATGCTGAGCACTTGCTGATTATAGTTTAAAAATTAGTCTAAACTCTATTCTCTAACGTTGCGCAATCGCCGCAATGTTCGAGAATCGAGAGTCGTGACACTCGCAGGCCGCAACCCGCCATCACCGTTCAAAAATTATGTCAACACTCAACATCACAACATGTGCAAGGCATAACAGTGCAACTTGTAAGTGACACTTCAACAATGCGCGACACCTGCCTTAAATTTGATCTCAACCCAGGATTTTTTTAACACTTTCAAAAATATTAAACGTAAATAAGGCATTTTTACGTCGAGTAATTTTAGTATAGTTTAGAATAGAAAATTTCTAAACAATATATCAGACTGCGACTGAATCACACACCGGACATTTTGCTGTCAACCGGTCATACGGCCGGTTTCCGATTTCGCAATGACCAAACCATGGTTGAATTAATACATGTATTCATTAATTCAACCATGGACCAAACTATTACTGAAGATCCAACTCTTTTGACTATATAATATTAATCGCCGACTCTAGACATTGCAGAATTAGAACAGCTACTTAATATGTATGAAATATTTAAATGAAAGTATCCGAGCGGACATTCAGAGGCTTTAAAATAAGAAAAATGTGCCTCAAGCATAGTATGACTTCTCGGATACGAACTATATCATTTTACGTTTTCGCTTGAAAACGAATTTTATATGTTGTTGTGTTCCTTCATATAATCAGATTTAGCAAACAAAAACCTATAAAATGCATCTATACATCGGTCGTGTATTCGTTTTTATTTAAGTACATTAACTAATAAGATAGAAATTCAATCCTCATGCGACAGAACAATGAAAACAACTCCTATACATAAATTCATCATCTAAATAAATTTATTTTAATACATTGAATTCAAATTTTCTCACAAAATTTCTGACACTAAATGAATGAAGGCGTTCTACATTAAAAATCATGACAGTGCGTAAATTCTGCGCGTAATGTAGACGAAATTCACCAAAACTGTTCAAATTGGTGTTCAAAACCAAATTTGAAGACATCGCTAAGGAAGCAGGCTTAACGGTGAGCTCAGACATGATTTCATGAATGCGCAAAATACTTTAGAAAAAATAAGTATGATAATACATTCGTTTATTTTATTGACAATAAACTGAGTATTGAACACCTGACTTGCTTGGTTATTTACTTGTAGTGAACAGATAGTTTTTTCATGAGAGTTATGCTGAGCTATACGCCACGGATGGAGTACGAATGCTGTCACTTAATATGGGTGAACTAATACGATGGCAATGTGGCCCAGTGGCTACAGATCAGAGTTACAGACTTTTTTTATTGGGGCGGTGAGCTAGGGGTTCGATCCCACCTACCTGTAACAGTTCTGATCAAATCAACTATAGGAAGCCGGGCGTTTAATTAAACAACGCGAAGTTGAAGCAGTGCGTTGCGTGTAGGAGACCACATAACGCTGAAAATATTCTGCGGTGTTAAAAATCGGTGGTATGTCTTAACTTCTTAAGGGATAATGAATACTGACACCGTTATATTTATAACGTAGGGTAGCATGTTAGCCTGACGTCGGTAAGGCTTGGTAATGGCTGCAATTTCGGAATCCTGAAATACCAAAGCCCATCATTTCCGTGATCTCATATTACGTCAGTAATATTAATGCTTATCTTATCTAATTAAATGCGATTTCAGGAGGCTGAAGCACATAAAATGACTCATGTTTATGTTGACTCATGTTGCTGTGCAATGAGTGTGTTATATGAAAATGGAAGAGATCAATGGAAATGAGAGTGCAAGAGTTTCTCCTGAGTGCATGAAATTCGAAAAATGGTAGTCAAAAACTATATCACATGAAAGAAATGTCCAAGTATACGTGCATGTATGATGGTTGTAAGAGTGGGAACGCATGGTATGTGGGACCTCAAGAGCTTATGCCCATTGTGCGAATGGGCGCACATCACTTTCTACAAGTAAATACTTAGCTTCCTAATATTTTCTTTTGTAACATTTTTCAACCACAACCCTGTCTTTCTCTTCAGTCGTCAACATCAAATGATTATGGGTATGCCGCTGTGCGGTTCAAAGTACTGATAGTGCATGTCGTTTTAGGTCGACTCACTCCAAATTCAGTTGCCGGTCAAGAACTTTAAAACTAGTAGTGTACGCGGTCAACGACAATTAAAACCATGTTTCAGTTATGTATTAGCCCAACTCTGGCTAGACGCCAATTCTGGGGATGGCCAAATTTCAACAGTTAGCTTGAGATTTGAATTTGGGACGCGGGTTCGGCCGTAAATTTGTCCCAGACGTACGACCCGGCAACCTAGCTGATTTCGGTGGTAATTTTCATTTGTACTTGGGGTCAAACTCAGAATTACCGGCATTAATCATAGGATTATAACTATTACTACTCGATCATTCCTCTCTATAACTCTGAAATGAAGGTTTTCAGCCGAAATTTCTTCGCCATCGGGAATTTCAGCTTTCATGGCCGTGACATGTGAATGAAGTCGAAACGGAAAAAAACACGCAGATGCTAATATAATAATAAAAAATATATTAATATAGCGTGATATACAAAGATTTCTCAGACAAATTTTAAATCTTAGTAGCTCGTGAAGAATCGACTGGCGGAAATGTTTGATCCATAACGAAACATTGTTTTCGAATAACTTATTTAAACATGAAACAGAAAATTCTTAAATTTTTATAACCGAATTGGAATCATTATATACGTTACATGCAAGTAAATTTGATATTTCAGCTTGCAAAAATTTAAATTCACTGAGTTTTCTCTGAATCAAACTTCTCTGAAGAACCCGACTGCAACACTCTGTGTTGGTTGCGGGCCTTGTAACTTTTCGTGTATGTGGGATAGTGTTGGAATGAGTGCGTAAATATTTAATTAATCATCAACATGAAGGTTAGTTCTTTATATTATTTTGGAGTTGCTATGGATTTACTTGATTTTGATGATGACTGGGCACGTTTATGATTGATTAGGCTATTGTATTGATGTTTTCAAAACGAAACTTGTCTTGCTTCAATTTCAGCATCTAGCTATTTTATGAAGCAATTATACATGTGTTTTTATTCTCAATTACTAATCTAATAATAATCAAACATTGCGTATGTTCATATGTAATGAAATGTCATGGTATTTCGAATCTGGTACGTGATGTTCATGAAAAGCTTGTGTTATGTATTGGCGATTGTAGGTATCCACTAGACAAGCCAGAGACAGAGTGTGGACCAGACTTAGCCTAGGCTGTAAATTTCATCACTGCAAAGCTAGATAAGGAGATACTAATAGCATAATCATCGCATAATGATTCTGTACTTAGCCTAGTACACTACAAGGAAATTGATTAGATATCTTTTTTTCTAAATAGTTGGCCAAAGACTGAGAAATATATTAAATGCAAGAATTTCAATCTAAATGTGTTGGCAAGATCTTCTGAAGGCGAAAATTTGGCTACTGAAGCGTCGCCAAAGATCTTGCAATATTCATCCACTCTCTGCATAGTGGCCTATAGATATAAATGAACATTATTCAATTTATTTTAAACGCTTTTCATGAATTCGCATTAAAATATTTATTTTAAAATCAACTATGTCAAAGTAACGAAATAATTTGTTATAGTTTTAGGCTTCCAAAAATATTTCAAATCTCTATCAGAAATATCATAATTAATCATTCTCTTGCATTGACTATATTAACGTTATGATCCGTGCTGCCGCTGCCACGATCGTCATTTGTTTTTGCAGTTGCATTCCGGGCGACTGCTTTTGTTGTTCTATGTATTCTTGCTCCCATGAATTGCATGTTTAGTGTGTGCATCATCAAAAAGTCTGCTTGACAGCGTAGTCACGGTAGCTGTAATTACTTAATACTTCTTTGCAGTCATATTAAGAGACAAATCTTTAACGAACTAATACTTTGTATAATTTTAATTGTTGAGTGAAAGCTGTGCCTGCAGCCTTGCTGGCACGCAACATTTCCAAGTGAATTACCTTATAGAAACTTAGCATACCCATACATGTTCTAAGCCTATAAGAAGTTCATTTTTTTGCCTCGAATAATGTTGTATCGAAAACCTGGTGTAGGTGTATCGGGAATAATATATGAACCGTCAATATTAGAATTCCATCCTGCTGCCATTTCCTGAGCCATGAGATACCTGCCAGATGAATTGCCTCCTATCTAATTGTTAACAAAAGGGCACAATCAGGCTGTGCGTTTCCAAATATACTAAAAATTTGTCATGTCAGAGCTGAGTGATTGCAGAAAAAAAGTAGGAAAATTTCAATCCTGCATTTGGTTCTTTCCAAATAAAATGAACTGCCCCAGTTCCAGTATATGTTATTTCCCCAGTAAAAAAAAAAACGGTATTACTTTAGATTAAGTGCATCCAAGAAAAAGTGTTTTTTTTTTTCTTTAATTATGTTTTTTAGGGTGTAGATTAAGAATCTGAAATCCATTTTTGGCGGTCGGCATCGGAAATTTTTAATGGAACCTGTCCCTAACTGGACCTAACCTGTGAGGTTTTCGTTGATCGGCTAGGTTTTTTCTATGTTTGGAGTCCGTCCGGCAGCCGGAAAAACCTAGCCAATCAAGAAAAACCTCGCAGGTTAGGGCCAGTTAGGTTCCATTGAAAATTTCCGATGCCAACTGCCAGAAATGGATTTCAGATTCTTGATCTACACCCCCAAAAAAAATATAATTAAAAAATAAAAACACCCTTTTTTTGGATGCACTTAATCTAAAGTATTACCAAAAAAACTGCTTATTTTCACCTGTATTTTTTAAATTACCTGAAACAATCAATTTTACCCTTGATATGAGAAAATTTGTGTAAATTCTAGTTTATATAGGAACAAGGGAGATTGACTTGAAATGCAGGCTAGAGAGTAACAATTTTTACTCTCTAAGCTGTAACTGGATTTTAGAGTAACAATTTTTACTCTCTAAGCTGTAACCCTGAACTCTTGTATTTCTGAGCTGTGATTTAATTTTTTGAGCTGGTAATTCCTATTCTAAGCTGTGTAAAGCCAATTTTGAGCCACAAACTTGTTTGCCAAAATGCAAGATTTTTCATTTTCCAATAAAATGTGATCTGTATATTGTAAATATCACATTTTACTTGAAGTAGCAACAAGAGCAGTTTTCTTCACTAGAGGCATTTAGTAAGCTGCATGTGGTACATTTTTTAAATTTTTAGAATTTAATGCAGGTTTATAGCCATGATAGGACTGCAACTATGTATGCAACAAAATGTGTGCAGTTGTACAGTGTACCTAAATGACCAAACACTTCCTGGAATTCTACAATGGTTGTATTGCAGGATGTTTTAGCTGGACTCTTTTGTAACTGATGGGACTTTTTGACCCTATGCCAATAGGTTCAAATAGCATTGATGACTGTAAATTTTTCCAAGACCAATGAGTAGAGATGTTGTGGAATGACAGGTTTGTGGACAGTGATATTTCTGATCAAATCTTAGTACACTGCTTTAGAGTCACAAAATTTTGTACCCATCAAAATTATGTATATGATATTTGAGCCATAAAATTGAAATAAACGGGAATTTTCCATTCCTAACTACAACAAGGGTTGGAATTATCCTACTTATTACTGAAATCTCACAGCTCTAAAGTGATAAATATTCAGTACAGTTAAATAATTAGATAGAATCTTGCTGCCCTATCTTGTACTTTTGTCAACAATAAAATAGGTAATTCATCTTGTGAGTTGCGGGAATTGAACTGCTCCAAAAATGCCAAGATTGTTCTAGTTGCTGCTCGGAAGGTAGAAATATTCCACACCTGACCACAACTAGGTTATTTACTTGCCATTTATGGAGACACGAAATTCCTGCTAGATGAAATGTTCACTATCAAATTGTTAATGAAAGTATATGATCATACTACAATATTCCCAATTTTTTTTTAAATATCACTTGAGTGCCTGGAGATGTCTGTATTAAGTAGGGCTTTTTTATGTATCTACGTATCAATATCATGTTAAATTGTTAATAGAATGAAGTAACTTTCATCACAGCAAGCATAGAAATGTGTATTAATTTGAATTTCTGGGAGTCGCTAGAAGGAAGTATCAAAAATCAAAGGATGAATTTACTCTAATTTGGGGTCAAACGACTAATAAAAATTTATTCCTGTGACACTTGGAAAAAAAAATTTTATTGCTCAATATAAATAGTAAATGTAATCTGCCTGTGCTGTTTTAGAGTGCTGGCACTGCAGTAGATTCACACAAGCTGCACTCGTAAAGAAATTGGTCTTCACCTCATCTATTTAGTCTTGCTAAGATTTGCAAAAAGAAACTTGCAATGGAAAAAATGTATATTTTATGATTTCTAACACTTAAACAAGACAGCTGAATTGTTGAATATGCAATAATTATAGGCTTGTAACTGAATTTCTCCAAGTTCAATAGTATTAGTGGAATACAGCATTAACCAAACATGCAAACTCTGTACTCTTAACTTTTACTGTCTCTGCTCCTTCTCAATTGTTATTTTATTCACTGAAAATCCAGAAATGCATTTATTTAACATCCTTTATTACAATCGTGATGAACAACATTGCCTCTTCACCTTGTTCTCATTTTCTGTTTTATCATTGCCAATTCATGGCTTTTTTAGAAAACAATTCATGACTTTTTATAGAAAACTATTCATTCTTTAATTTTATTCATCAAATTGCTGATACAAATATGGGCATTTTTCATGTACACTATAATAAAAAGTACTGCTCTTGTTAAAAATAGTAGTGGGCATGTATTTTTGGCAGAATTGAAGTTTATAAAGTTCATGGTTTATTGTGGTGTTTTTACATCTAATATTTTCCTATTGTTTTATTACTAGAAAATTTTTGTTGAATTTTTCTCTTTCACTTGAAATTTGTTCCTCGGAATAACATGACTTGGAATCTTACTTCTGGGTGCATGGTAGAAAAATGGTTTGGAACTCTTGGTCTCCAGGTTAAGACAATATTAAATGTGTTAGAGAAATGTTCAACGATACGTTGTTTGTATTCTGTGTCCATCCCTATTATGAATTTTATTCTGGAAATACTCATGAGTAATTTTATTTTACAGTTGAACGTGTCATTCCCTGCCACGGGCTGTCAGAAGCTCATTGAAATTGAAGATGAGAAGAAGATGCGCATTTTTTATGAAAAGCGCATGGGTCAAGAGGTTGAAGTTGACTCCCTTGGTGATGAATGGAAGGGCTATGTTGTGCGCATCTCTGGTGGAAATGATAAACAAGGCTTCCCAATGAAGCAGGGAGTCCTCACTAACAGTAAGTTTGTAATTATTTTTTGCAAACATTTTTCACATTTTGAAAGTTGATAATTCTTCCGTGAAACCTTTCAAAGCAATTCTGACAAGTGATGCGCACACCTCGTTTCATTCTGTAATCATTTGGCTATGTGCATTGGTTCAATTATTTTTGCTGAGACTGGCTGACAAATCCTGCAAATTGTGGAATCCTACATTCTTCGGTTTCAGAATTATATTGTATTGTCACGAGAACTTCATGTTAGAATTGAATACTTATTTGTGTGTGAAATTCCAGCAATTTAATTGAACGAGTTTAGTAATGATTTTACAAGTGAGTGTTTATCCAGAACATTATTTTGGACCAATATTAAAAAATAGTAATCAAATATTCTAGAATACTTAATTTCTTGGTACCGAGTGTCATGGGTTTACTCTCCTTTCTTTCAACCAGAGTAGCCTGTGTTTTCTGGGGAACAAATGTAATGTTATCTAATATGTTGTCGATCCTCGTGTGTTGCAAAAGGCTGGTTCTGAGAAGTATTTATGACAATTTTGTCATGAATACTAAAGACAATTTTGACCTAAATTGTCTTTCATTCACCTTTCCATTAACTGGCGATAACAATGTTGTATTTTTCAGATCGCGTCCGTTTGCTTTTGTCGAAGGGTCACTCGTGCTACAGACCACGACGCGACGGTGAGCGTCGCCGCAAGTCAGTCAGGGGCTGCATTGTTGACAACAACCTCTCTGTGCTCGCCCTCGTCGTCGTCAAGAAGGGAGAAGGAGTGAGTACTCTGTCTTTGCTTTGCTTCTTACGGCTCTTTCTTTCTCGTGGGGACTGATGATTATTTTTGGTATTAATCCCTTGATCCCATACTTGTTAAGAGAGAAGGAGTGAGTGCTCTAAGTCTTTGCTGTGCTTCTTACGGCTCTTTCTTTCTCTTTGGGACTGATGATTATTATTTGATATTCATCCCTTGATCCCATACTTGTTAAGAAGGTAGGAGTGAGTACTCGAAGTCTTTGCTGTGCTTCTTAGTTCTTACTGCTCTTTCTTTCTCGTGGGGACTGATGATTATTATTTGATATTAATCCCTTCATGCTATACTTGTTTAGAAGGTAGGAGTGAGTACTCGAAGTCTTTGCTTTGCTTCTTACAGCTCAATGCTTTCTCTTAGGGACCGATGATTATTATTTTGATATTCATCCCTTGATCCCCTACGTGTTGAGAAGGTAGAAGGAGTGAGTGCTTGAAGGTTTAGCTTCGCCTCTGATGGCTAAATGCATGCTTAGTAAGACGGTGGTGAATATTCCTTCACATTCTTTACTTCATTTTCATGTGAATTATTTTATTGCAATTGAATTCTTCCGAAAACTGTTGATAAATTATTCTCGTCCATATGAAGTTATATAATTTAATTATTAGCTCAAGGATTGTCATTACTCATTAGTATAAATATTATCGGACAAGTTAATAATGATTGATGAACTAAGGGCTAGAAAACGTTTCCCAATAGGGTAGAGATGCCGAGATTCATTGGGTGTGTAATCACTTCTATAATTTTCTGCCTTTTTTACAGGAAATTCCTGGCCTCACAGACACGAATGTGCCTCGCCGACTCGGACCCAAGAGAGCGTCAAAAATCCGCAAGCTTTTCAACTTGCGCAAGGAAGACGACGTTCGTCAGTTTGTGGTGAAGCGCCCGCTGCCTCTCAAGGAAGGCAAGAAGCAGAAGTTTGCTTGCCCCAAGATTCAGCGTCTTGTAACCCCCGCCGTGCTGCAGCATAAGCGCCGTAGGCTCGCGCTCAAGAAGAAGAGGAGGGAGACAGCACGCAGTCTCAAGGAGGACTACGAGAAGATGCTTGCTCTGCGATACAAGGAGTTGCAGGAACGCAAAGCAGATAGCAAGCGACGCAAGTCTTCGCGCAGACAGTCGACTAGTTCTGTCTAAAGGAAGTTTGCTCACGTAAAGGCGTTGGTGCACGCGACTTTTCATTCACCTCCTTGTTTTCGACGTGAACGTCTTATATTGTCATTTTAGTTGAAAAACTAATTGGGTTAGCACTTCGGAAATTTGCATGTAACAGGGCCAGGGAAATAGTATTGGATGGTCAAACGAGTGAAATTGTTCTAGTAACATAAAGATACGTTTCTTGGTGCCTTCTGTTGCAAAATAAGGCCTGACATTTACACGAATTAACAAAGGAATTGGAAATTTAATTCGAATCAGTACCAACATTCGTATAAATTTCAATGTGCTTGAAACGGAAAAGTTGCAGGAGAGAAAAGATTACCATCATTAAATTCTATATATTAAGCCATGAACATATACATTACGTATCACAATTAAAATTAACGTAAGATAGATCTTTTATACCACATCGTTAATTTGTAACTGAGAACATCACTCCTAAAAGCTTCATTTAATGCTCAAGTTTCACGCTCTCAAGCTGCCATGCCTATCAAATTGGGCTAGACCGAAGTCAAAATTGTCTGCTGAGCGGCAGAGTTCGATAGGACGACGAATCCTAAATATGGAGCTCTAGCTTCAATGTTGGTTTAAAGCGTCGCAGTAGAAAATTGCTGCGATGGGTGATAGAACAGCAACGAAAACACACCAAGTGTAGCCATGACTCCTGGCAAGTTCTTGAATTTCAAATATATGAACTGGTTTTACCGACGTTCGCCTCGACAGGTGTCGGCAACTTCTATTCGTAGTATTACGATGCTAAACTTAATTTTTGAATGGTCGGTATTATAAAATTGTCGAGAAGTAGCCGTGTTAATTAATTCCATCAGGCATGCACATACAAACGAGTCGTCGACGTAGGACATGTATTTCATCTCCAATACTCTGAGACTTGATAATAATATAATGAATTCTTTTAATTCATTTAATGGTAACCATTCATAAACAACAACCGGAAGAATCGCTGTCGATGCTCTACTTATAAGATACTTGAACCCTGTTGCCGGCATTGAAATGAGACATCGTGACGAATGCAACGAAGAACACCATGTGTAGAAAATTGTGATGCGTTTGCTGAATTTGAATTTGTTAACGCAAGTTAATACAAGAAAATATTCCATATCTTGAGTGTTATGCCGAACCTGCTACAAGATTTCGGACGAATCTGCACAATCGAGGACATACCATCTTCGATTCATAGCGCAATATTTTTTTTCGCCACCCACGCTGTAGGGTTGTGACCAAATAAAGTTGTGCTGGACTCACAGGCAAAAAAAAACCGGAACTGGTCAAGTTACTCGACCAGTAATTAATTAGAACAGTAAGTTTCGAAACTCGTTTTACGGTTATAATTCCATAACGTAAGCAATTCTTACATTTTTTTGTACACTCTGCGCTAACCATAATCGAAAATAGAAACTATCAAATTGTAAGCACATTCAGTTAGAAGTCAGAAGAGATCTCTAAGAAACGAGCAAATATATATTTTTTACTCTTGTGCCTAAAAACGGAAGAATGCGTTAAGCTGTACGCAGCCTCGTGGACGGTTTGGGAAAGGAGCGACATCAAGCAAAGAAATAGCTCAGCAGACTTAAATCTAATCAATTTAGGATTAATCCTCAGGGATATTATCTACGAACAACATCTATGGAGGGATAACAAGGAATTCTAATTAGTAATAAAAATTCTGCTAATAAAATTTCACTATCTCAAAGCTAAAATAACAAGTTTTGATTAAACTGACACTTGGTCCGCAATTGAACTCTACGTAAAATGTACAGAAGCACTTTAAATGTACACCCTTTAACATCCAAACGCTTAACAATAACATTATTGACAAGGTTATGGCCTCATTAAAATCTAAGCTGCAATTGCACCTTCTTTTAAATTAAACTCAAAACACAGGCATTGTCAAAAAAAGCTGCACCATCCTTCCCTGTTTTGCGCAAGATCAAACTTCACAACTCATTCAAACAACTTACTCTCTAAGATTTCTACATTTAACTTTGTAAAAATATGGTTGAATATACTTGATATAAAACGTACAGTACAAAGAGCCTTATTTGGTAATCACGTCGGTGTTCAAATTCTCATTCAAACCGAATCAAGAGCTGGCGGGCCGAGGGCACGACTCACTAGCAGCAAGCACCATGAACAGTGGAGCACAGCTCCCAAACATGACTGGTTCATTAGGAGAGCACCGGAAAGTTTCGTTTTTAATTCTCACTCCCTTTGATTGTGAAGAACACAAGTTGGTCACAGCTACAGGGCATAAACATTCGACACGAGATCGGGTAAAAGACGTAATCGTAAGAAGGAAAATTTTGTCTGTAAGTTAAGGCTACAGGTGGTTTTGGTCAATTATTAAACGTCCGATTCAATCACTTTCCAGAAGAGATTACATCTTCATTGGTCGTTTTGATGATTTTTTTTTGTGAAATGGCGAGCATAAGGATTATCTGACAGCACAACAAAAGGGTAATAAAGAGCAGCTACAAGACGTTTAAACAGCAGATTGGTCCCACTGAAAAATATCTTATTCTAGTACAGGGGTCTCAAACACGCGGCCACGGCCGGGGTGTAAATGTATAAATATATATGTTGTGCTTGGTGATTAAACATACATATGATATTCTTGTTTTTGCTTTGTCATCAGGTTTTCCAGTTACGGAGGAGAGTTTTTTGTTTACTCAACTTTACTGTAGTAGTGTAGTAGCCTTAAAAATGTCATCGTCTTTCCAAAAGCGAAAAATAGCAGATGAAAAAAAAAGTGTTCCAGGAGAATTTGGAAAATTTAAAATTTGTCAATGATGTGAGGAAAAAAACTAGGCTGTATGATTGCAGTGCATGTCTGTTCTCAAGTCATACAACGTACATAGACATTACGAAACATTGCATCGAGAACATTATGATGGGCTGTCCGTCCGCCAAACGGTGCGGGGAAAGCGTCCATCACTTGAAAGTATTTTTAAGTAAACAAAAAACCTTTTTTCAAGCATCAACACAGCCAATGAAGACAAGCTTTCTTGTTAACGAGATGGTAGCAAAGGCATCACGACCATTCACTGAAGGCCAGTTTGCTAAGGACAGGCGTGTGACATTATCAGCCTCGAGAAAACGAAGCTCTTCGAAGGCATAAGTTTGTCTGGGAAGACAGTTGCAAGCCAAGCAGGATCACCAAGTCAGCGACAAATGTTCAACAAGAACTGATTACCGCTGCAAAAGACTTTGTAGCATATTTCACTGCACTGGGAAAAGGAATATGGGGAGTTCTTAAATCGTACGGACGAGAGATGGTTGAGTCGTAAAAAAAGCGCTGCAGAGATTTTTGAACAGAGACGGGAAATATAATTGTTCATGGCAAAGGAAGGCAGAGACATACCTCAGCTCAGAGGCCCATTGTTATTGCCATATCTTGCTATTTTTACTGACATCACACAACATCTCAACACTATATTCACAACTACAAGGTTCAAAGCAGCTAATTACCGTTTGACCGCATCAAATCATTCTGATGCAAGCTGAATTAATGGGCCACTCAGCTGAAAAATGGAAACCTGGCTCACTTCTCTTTTGTAAAGAGCACAAAGTTTGAACAACAGTGCCTGAAAGAGTAAGCTAATAATTTAGACTGCCTGTGCGTGAAAAATTAAAAAATTAAAATTCGTAATTAAAATAATCAGGCTTAATAAAAATCGTGAAATTTAATGGCGCGGCCGCTGACCCCATGCTAATATGAGTTTGAGACCCCTGTTCTAGCATGATCAATATTTCCACTTATTTGATTCTCAATTGCTGTTATTGGACCTCAAAAGTGGAGGAGTGAACTGTTCTTCAACAGCCAAATTTCTATCTAGCCATTTGATGAAGAACACAGGAGCGTCTGTCGCAAGGGAAGCTACCTCTCCCTCCTGTTCTTCTAACGTTCGATCGGTAATATTTTCTGGAGCTGCCTTTTTTCTACTTGAAACTAAATGCCCATCAGGAAGAAATCTTTCTTCCAGTAAATCATTTAGGCTTGGAGTGAGGACGGGCATATATTGCACATTGTTGTCAACATCCTGCGATGTTGATCGCTGGGCATCACGGCTCTGAGGATAAGAAGCGTGCACAGGATGAGATCCACGAGAAGTGAAGGGTCATACTCTGTCGTTCAGAGGGATGGGCCTGTAGGTGCCGTTAGCCACGTTGCCTGCGGAAACACAAAACAACGGCTTCATGAGGAGTACGATAACGTTAGCAACATCTAAGGAAAAATCGTGAATATTTCGCAATAACCTAATTTGAAATGAATGATAATAGGTTAGTGAATTATACATAAGATGCACCTTGCGTGTAATTTACAATATCTTTGAAAATAATGTAGAATAGACAGTCCCTGAAATAATAGTATAGTAAATGATGGAATCAACAAAAGAAATAAAATGTACGGAATAAGCTATTTGTGAAAGTGAATTTTGACAAACTTGATCCTTTTTCACTAATTTTGCCCCAAGTTGCGGTCATCAAAATTTCATTTTAACTCCAATAAAAGATAGCATGTGTCTTGGCATTAAAATGTCAACAAGAGTTGACGATTTTTCAAATAAACCTTCCCAATTTTCGAACAAATGAAAGATTCCAACAGCAAAATAACAAGAATACTGATTATCCTCTAAAAAATATGCGTTGTTAACGCCTATGTAATTTATACCAATCAATCGTAGTCTTTGCAAAGAAAATGCCATACTTAAAGTATATAATTGATCAGAGCTATGAGCGCTGTCTGATCACCGTTGGCATTGTGCTGCGTGAGCTGACTGTTGTTTTGTTTGCCGGCGTCATTGCAAAGAAGATGCCATATTTAAAGTATATTATAGATAAGATTTATGAGCGCTGTCTGATCACCGTTGGCATTGTGCTGCGTGAGCTGACTGTTGTTTTGTTTGCCGTCGTCATTGCAAAGAAAATGCGATACTTAAAGTATATAATTGATAAGAGCTCTGTGCGCTGTCTGATCACCGTTGGCATTGTGCTGCGTGAGCTGACTGTTGTTTTGTTTGCCGGCGTCATTGCAAAGAAGATGCCATACTTAAAGTATATTATAGATAAGACCTATGAGCGCAGTCTGATCACCGTTGGCATTGTGCTGCGTGAGCTGACTGTTGTTTTGTTTGCCGGCTTGTCTGGAGCTCCTGCCAGTCTTCTTGTTGCGCCAGCGTATGCAGTAATAAGAGATGAAGTACACGGCGCCCAGTAACCCGGACACCGCACTCGCCCCCAGGAATACTTTGATCATCCCGTAGGCGTCGATGAGGACGCCTGATACGAGCGCACCGACACAGCGACCTGCGCACACGAGCTTCACGTCAGGGTTAAACATTAAAATATAAATAATTTCAACAATAGAAAAATATTAATTCTAAAAATTCATACTAATAAAAAATTAATAAAACGCCTGATACGAGCGCACTGACACAGCGACCTGCACACACGAGCTTGACGTTTTTTCTTATTTTTTTTTAACGAGCTTGACGTCAGGGCTAACTCTAGAAATATAAATAATTCCTAAAATATAAATATATAAAATCTAAAAAATTAATAAAAAAATTCTGAAAAATATCGGTGGGAGCAAGTCGAACTAAAGATATACAATAATAAGTGCAAATAAGAAATAAATGATAACATTTACCGTAGAAACAGTAATTGCAAAAATCTTATATTTTTTATTTGGGTTCAATTGTTTCCGTTCGCGAACCAAAATAGCACGAGATGAAAAACGGCAAACGTGACCATGCATGCAATGCGTACGATGAAGCCAGGATTTGAGGAGAAAAAAATTTATTTATACGTTGAGAGACGATTGCAAGTATCGAGCGTTGGGTAAAATCAAGACTCGAGTGAGTTAAACAAAAACGTCAATTAATTGTCCACAGCACCATAATTCAACTATACAAGAAACGTATAAAACAGGTGAATATGACTTAACTAAATACGGTATTCATTTTTTTATTGTTATTCTATGCAGTGTGATGGATTTTCTCAAGACCTGATTGACTCAAGCCAATATGCATACCGTTAACAGTTAATTATTATTTGTCCAACGAACTACGGACACCAGGCTCACCAAAAGTGAAGTGGGCAATAAAGACGAAAGCTTGAGCCGTAGCGACGAGACTCTTGGGTGCGAGCACGAAGGCTAGAGTGGAGGCTGCGACCTGTAGCATGTTTAGCGTGAACAGCTCCAGCACCTCCAGCGGCATGCTCCACCAAGGGTTCCTCATGTACGCGAAACCTAATCGGGAAAAGCGTGAACATCAGAGCTCTCCACCACACAGGCACACGTCACTGACACATTCGCGAGCCACATCAGAGCCACTGACACGAGCTCTCCACCACACAGGCAAAGCCACTGACACACATCAGAGCCACTGACACGAGCTCTCCACCACACAGGCAAAGCCACTGACATACATCAGAGCCACTGACATACATCAGAGCCACTGACACACATCAGAGCCACTGACACACATCAGAGCCACTGACACACATCAGAGCCACTGACACACTCACGTTGGCAACACAATTTCGTTCAAAACCCTGCTCACTCTCTTCAATTGTGATGGCCGAACACTACAATTTGGTATGTACGGCGTCGGTGCAAAAAACATTCTGAGGGTATAGGTTTTTATCTCCAGGAAGAGTAAGCAAAAGAGAATCACTTAGTCAGCATTGGTAAAAATTAAAACAGGTTGACGTAGCTGAATGAAATATTCGTCAAATGGATGCCGAAAACCAAGCCAAATACGATAACTTGAAGTCCTCGATTAAATATATTGTCAGATGGTTATCAACTAATACAATCAGTTGAGTGATAGCAACGCACCCAAGAACCTGATGCAATACATCACAAAAGCGAGCATGAGTAGGTGGTGATGGCCGCAATAGTTGACTATTCTTTCACTCTTGAACAAGAACGGTATTGATGGCACTATGCCGATGGTTATGGTGAGGCCGATGAGCAGTTTAGGAGCGTGCAGAGATTCCAGGTAAATGTAGAAGAAAGTCTCCAAGTAACTCCAGAATGACCCCAGAACAAACATGATCAAGAAGAGCACGACGAGTTCTCCGTTTCTGAAGAGCAGCGACAAGCTTTTCAACTGGAAAAAATTAAATCAAAGGTACACAAATTAGCTTACCAAATCAAATTGGACGAGTCCATCATTAGTATTTCAATCCGTCAATAGTGTGTACACCTGAGCATCAAACACTCAGTCGGTTATGCAGTGAAACTACCGTAGAATATAATGACTTGAAGCTGAAGAAGTCACGGAAGTGTTGATTGCGCAATTAAGTCCGGCTTCATTATTAAGTTAGGCATTCTGATGAAATTCTATTTCAACTATCGATACCTACAAAAAGCTGCCAATAATACGCGACTGATTCTGAATTGAAGAGTATACGACGAAGGCGGCGCATCAGCGTGACCGTGGACTAAGAAGTCCTATACTCATCATAAGGATGTAAATGGTTTGCATAATTTATAATATTGAAATACTGCTTTAATATGCCAATAAATGGTAATGTAATAGTAATAGTAATGTCACTAGATTGCTTGATACGCAAATTCACTAGAAATTTAAAAGCGAAGAAAACGCCACAAAAATTCAGCATTTCTGATGGTAAAGTGTCAACGTTTTCAATAGAGAAATGCTGAATTTTTGTGGCGTTTTCTTCGCTTTTAAATTTCTAATAGTAATAGTGATATAATAGAGCAATAGTTATCCCCACCAGGCTGTTGGTGCGGAGCTCGACTTGGAAGGGCAGGAAGAGCGTGATGACGGCCGACACGAGCATGAGGGCCGTGAAGACGTAGAACACAGGACCGTACTTCAGGTTACCGTACGACCCAAAGCGTCCGTCCATCAGGATACCCACCAGAGGGGCAGTTATGCCTGACAAATATTAGGGAAATTATTCACTTCTGTGAATAAATTCACCGATGAAGGACTTGTTAATATATTATTGTCAGGTAGAAAGTGTCAACTAAATTCTTGTGCACAACCATGTCTGTCAAACACTGATTTCCATAATTTCAAATCGAAAATACTTTCAGAATCATGCATGAAATAATTTATATGATGACGAAGTTCACCACTTTATTTAGATTTGAAGTAGAGCATATCAGAGATGACATGTGCATCTTTCGGGGAATACGTTGCGGATTCAATTTATTTATAGAACAAGCGATGCCACGGAGGACATGTGAATACTCGTTACTCCCACACAGCAAACTAAAACTCAAATCAAGCGTCTAATTAGTGGAATTGCATTAAGACATAACATGTATGACTAAAATACAATAAAAAATTAGGTACTGATGAAGAATATGATATACATCTTTAATAAGAATACTGATACATCAAGTAGACAAGGATTAAGTAATTTTCGGGTATTTATGAAGGTAAGCTAAGTATAATTCTATCGATTTTTCTTGTGTATATAGTCATATATATACGCAAAAATATATACTAGTCCTCAAGAAATAAAACTGAGCGGTGAAACCAACTCTTGAACAACTCTATGTTCTGTATATACCACATCAATACTACAGAATGACCGCCACCACAATATCCAGAGCTTAAGATCCGAGCAACGCACCCACAGAGACGAGACCAAACATCTTCTGGCGGCCGAAGTCTCCATTGTATTGCGTGACCATAGTGAGCACCATGGCGTCGAGCAGCGAGATGAGCACCGTAGGGAAGAGGTCGGCCAGAGCTCTCACCACGAAGTACACCCAAAACGTCACCTGCGGGTTGCCTTCCACGCTCTCGCACACGCCCGTTTGTAGGAACATCGTCCCGTTGCTCTGTAATACCGGCCAGTCCAAGCACATCATTACAAGGGCTGTATTACTCATGCTCTCTCATCAATAGATAAAAGTACTCTATAGTTTATTATTATTAGTAGTAGTAGTATAGTCAACTTTAGTCGTATATCAGTAATATAGTCGTATATCAATGGGATTGAGAGTCATATGTAGTAAGTAGGAGTAACCGATAGTCATCTATTCATGTAAGAGAAAGTAATCTATAGTTCTGGTTTAGATTCAAAGGTACTATCATATTTCATTGACAGCGCCAAAAACTTCGACGTCGTATGTTGATCAAGCAAATTTCTAACGGGCGCATTTATCAAACTACACTAAATTGAGACATTTTTGGAAGACATCCAAGTAACATCTAGTGTATAATGATGTGAAGACATTGCAGCCAAATATTTTTATTACTTCATTGTAATAAAAGCCATTGGTACCAATGAAATAATGAATATGATACATATAGTAACACAATTTTTAACAAAGCAGAAAAAAAAGTTTCACAATGCAATTTTACCAGGTTCACGTAAAAACATTATAGAGAACAGTTCAATGTTTACGATTTACATGAGTTTTTTACGCTAGGAGCGCCAGCTGACGGTGTTCCTAGCGTAAAAAAAATGCTCACGGTGAGCAATGGAAATGGTGATAACCATTTATATCAAACTACAGAGCGAGAAAATTAAATAAAAACACCGTTGATCCTACGTTACAGTAACCTGTCCTTGAGTGAATTCATCATAGGCTTCCTCAGAGAATTATGAAATGGTATTCAAATTTAAAAATCTTAATCGTCTTCTCTCCGCCTCAAATTTACTGTGTTTTTTGACGTGCAGTATAAACATGTGTATTTTGGTTGGCTACGAGGTAGCATTAAATTGACGTTCACAATCTAAATGACATTACAAATTCAAAACATACAAGCATGCTCACCTGTTCGGCAGCATCACACACGACGCTGCACTGACTGTCGGTGGGACACACGACGTTATGAAACGCACTGCCTTCATACGTTGACTCCCCCTGCTCGAACTGACACGTTTGTATCCTGGCGTCTGCTACGCGCGTCACATCCTCGAGCACAAGCGGCCGTCGGAAGGTCAACGAGTGTTCGGAGGTGGCCATCGTACGGCACTCCTGGCGACCAGACGCGTCCACGAAGCAAACCATCGGCAGGGATGCTGGTAGCGACTGTTCGATGGTGGGCAGCTGTAAGCCTTGTAAGGAGTCCTCGCTATCCATGGTCATGTCATCCTCAGGATTGTCGAACAAAAAGGCTGTCGTTGCATTGCTGCAGTGATAACGACAGTTGTCTAATCTGTAACGAAAAAAATCTGATTTGTAACAAAAAAAGTCAAATCTTTAATGAAAAAAGTTTAATCTGTAACGAAAAAAGCTGAAATTGGTGCTGCGAAATGTTCTGCCAGAATACCTACGCGTTTGATAATTGACTAAACAATGACAGCATAATATTTAAGCCAAGATAATGATTTACTTCTACCATAATTTTTCGACTATTATCAATCATGTTGCCGAAGAATAATAATGGACCAGACCTAAAGTTTGCCAGCATTCTGAGATGGCCGGAGTATTTATCACAGGGGTTGCCGAAGAAGGGCGCGTCACAAGGCACTAGGGAGAGATGAGAGCGCTCGTTGTTACACCAGAACTGCAGCGGCGGCGGATGAGGCGCCACGCGGTCGCACGGCGGCACGAACAGCAGCAGCATGTGGAATAGCGCCGCTGCGGCGTGTAAAATCAAATATTTTTTTTATTTAGAAACAACGAAGAGCATATTCAAACGAATATTGAGTAAAATCATTTAATTATATAGTAGTTAGAGAGGTGCGTATTAGATTTCAGACTTGCAAATTAACGATAATAAAGCAACACCGATAACGGAAAGCTCTGATTCTGAACTACATATCTTAAGAAACTGGACATAAATTTCAAATTTATATAAGTTGAAATGAAAAACACTCGCAATGATACAACATCAAAGCTAACTTGCATGCAATTATTCCACGAGAAAATGACATTTTCTCGAATAATGAGACAAGTCTAGTAAAGAACTGACCGAGCAGCATGGCGAGGATAGTGATGGCTTTATGGCGTCCGCTGCGGTCCGCCAGGAAGCCGGCAAGGGGGGGACCCCAGATGGAGGTGAGGGGGAGTACAGAGTTAATCCAGGTGATCTCATCGTGCGTCAGGCCGAGGTGCTTCATGTGCAGCGTCAGGAATGGCAGCAGGCAACCCAAGGCTGCCGCGCCAAATACAGACGGTTTATCAAGACGACATTCGTGATTTCATTACCGATATTTGTAGAACTGAAAATAATTTTTGTTCGATTTTGCATTTTTAACTGCAATCGAAAACCAGACGAACTTTTGTTTCTATATAATATCGAGAGATGAAATTGAAGACGACGCAAAAAACTCCTTTGCCATGATTTAGCTCACACTTTTTGAAAGACGTTTCGTACCTCCCACATTACATATCTCGATCTGGATTTGCTTCTGGTTAGTCCCAAAAAGGGGCTCCTAACTTATATGGACATCATGTATATATTACTGCGCTGACTAGCGCGGCAAAAACAACAATCGAAATTCTTCATAAAAACTGTTGAATTGTGACAAGTTGCTCAATACATGATGAACCGGTCGTCTTTTTGTCGAATCCATTCCAGTCCAATCCTCAGCCAGCATTATATAGTCACCCACGCTGCATTCCAAGCACGCTACTATATCATGCACGTACGATGAATAATGAGCTTGATTCCGCTCTCCTCGGTTATTTCGTTACGTGAGATGAAATATTATGAAGTGATTAAATGCAACCAGTATATATAACACGTAACAATTTTATTGCCTCGTACCAGCTTAATCCGGCGTGCTTTGGGAAATAAAATCTCGAAAACTTGAAAATACCGTTAATAAAATATGTTGCAATATACGATGAATAACCTAACATTGTTTACAACGAAAAATATTTCTGTTCAAAACAACACAAGCGATCGTCCACAAGAATACAAAATCACTAATTTTATCACCGGAGCCAAATGAAGCTCCGATGCAAAGTATTAAATTAAGCAGCTGCACAGAACGAGACTTACCTCCATAAAATGTCATCAGCAGCAATTTAGGGACGATCAATTTTCTGTTGACGCACTCATTGTTTTTCCTCTCTCGCGTCTTTGGTACAGGATTATAGATGGGCACGGGCACTTGCTGAGGGTTCTCCATTATAATATATTTTCAAACAGCGATTGTGATATTAAAACAGCGTTTGGGAAACATTCACGAAAGAACTCTCTGGGAATTAAAATAATTGCTGGAAGTGAATGTGCAATACTAAGAATCTCAAAGGTTACATTCTTGGTCCAACGGCTTCATGTCCTAGCAACTCCTTCAATACGACCATCTTCACAAGTCTTCATCATAGTACCTTCATCGTCTCTAAAAATAATAATCTGAAACAAAGACAATTATAGTGGGCATGAATTTCAATATGTATAACACTTGCTGCGCGAGTACTTTTGATAACCCGATGAAAAATCTCGCAGGTATATTAGGAAGATGCTATCTCATACATAAATACGAAGATGTTAAAATAAACAAAACGAACTACAGAAATGATAACCGTAAGCATCAGACAAGCTTATTATATACTCCAGGTCACAGCATGTTTATTGGGATGTTTGATGAATCTGGATGTAAATCTCGGGTTCCAAGTAACCGAGTCCAATCGTCTCGTATTACAACAAATAATGCTCAAGCCAACATCTCGACTTGTAATCTCGCCAGAATGCAAATAACAATTTTTTCTGCGTCATTCTCTCCCTGATCGGCTTTTTCTCGCGAGATATTTTGCAAATGACCTGTAACAAGAAGCCGCATTGTATGGTAATGAGCACAAACTCGGCCACTCGTCACATGTCAGCTATCGGAGTCCATCTGAATAAATTTGGGAGACCGAAATACATTTCCAGCGCAGCGATAACTCAGGACACATATCATGTGAACAAACGAAGGCTTGCTCAACAATCTGGCTCAGGTAAGATAACTTCTCTCAGATATTGGATAATTTCTTACAGTCTCGCACAGACAATGGATATTTTGAAACAATGGAAAACACTGCACACTAATATACAAGAGAGTGAGGCGACGTTTCGATGAGAACGAAAAGTTGCGGTGGTAAGAAGGTAAGAACAACACATCCAAGTTCATTAACCTATATAATGTGTTTTACTTTATCCCCGCTTTTTGGATCAAATTAATCCTGCTGTTGTTGAGTTTATTATCAGTTTTACATAATCAACACGAAGTTCGCAACTTCAAAACAAGTGCACATTCTTCTTATCTTGCTGTCGGTATACAGAACGATTCATACTATAATTATTATAGTTGTATGTTTGAGCCATATTATCAGTTCAGTGAGAACCATTTGTTCTCACTGAATTTACTTATTATTATTATATATAATCATATAATTATTATAGGTATTATTTTACTTCAATTAATGTACCCTTAACACGTTGACTACGATTGCTTCATATTGTACTATTATTTCATTTTTTGTACTGTTTTTAAGCAGGGTTGCCAGACGGTCATTTTTTCCGGACAAATTCCGTGATTTAGTTTTTCTCAATTGCGTTGGCCGGCTGAAATTTATGATAGGGGTACTTCCTAATGAAATTTTAAATACTGCAAAAAGAAAATAAATGGAATTTTTATAGTGCAACCTACAAATAAACTAGTATACTTTGAGTTATCGGCCTTTTTTGGCCTTTTTTGTTCTCGGATTTGGCCAATTTTACTTTATTTTAGGCAACCTGAATTATGTACCACTACTTCCTAGAGAAATACATTTCGTGGTACGCATATGTACCACTTCGGAGTCAACGTGTTAATGCAACCTCTGCTGTGAGGTGCGTAAGTGGGCTTGAGTTCGCGGAAATGAACGGGCCGGAGAATATCAAGCACACGGCAAGCCGGCCATGGAAGTTCAACGAGCTCACATTGCACGCCATCTCCAGCTAGACACAAGCGACTACAGTTGTGCAAATGTTGAAAAAAATATCAATGCTAATATATTTATCCCTTGAAAATTAACGAAATAATCTAGAGTCGTTTGACAGATGAAATCTAACATGATGAATAATAAATAATGTTAATCAAACCAAGTTACATACACGTGCTCGCGATGCTTAAAAACGAGTCAAGCAGACTCGCCGACTGGAGAAAATAAAGAAATGTTAAAAACTTAAGAAACTACACGAACAGTAAATTATATAATTAATAGAAATTAAATCAAATCATAATATAAATTTTACGTGGATTAGCAGACTTAGTGAAAGTATTATTCGTAAGCTTGGAAGAGTCAAGAGTGTGATGGCGGCGGGGACGGTCTGGGTCGGGACGATGTAGGGCACGCGGCGTGCGTTCGTACGTACGCGCTCAGCCAGAGGCTAAGGTCAGTGACCTCAGCATGGCCTCGATAGGCTGGCAGTACCTCGGATGTGAGATCGCTGCACCAACAAACAATTCTTGCAACGTAATGAAATATTTAGCATACAGTCCGTTAGTTTACAAGAAAATTAATATAACCAAAGTGGCACATTGCAGAGGAATAGTCAATAATGATGGTGATTGTACCCTGTTACGATAAAAAAAATTATCAACAACATGGATCTTGTACAGAGATTTCCATGACCTCTGTGATGAAAAGAAAAATGGCAAGTGTGAGTCTAAACTCTCGTACTAAAGGAGGAATAAGTGAAATTCCTGCGGAGTTTATGCTTGCTTAAAGCGTTTCTTCAAATAGGCGATACAAAGAAAATATTCTAAGTGAGGTGTTGATACATCGTAAGGGGAAAGAATCTCAATCATATAATATTTATGATTACCTAGAAAAATTACACATTTGACCAAAGCCTTTTTACTTATTACTAGGAATGTTTCACACATAACCTTTTCTTCAATTAATGAAGATGAGATAGACAATTAAATTTTACGATTATTTTTACCTGTATGTATTTTCAATGTTCGGTAGGTATCCACAACAGCTATTGTCAATGCATCTTTTAGTACGGCTGACAACGGAATGAATAAAATGCAATACATCGCATTTCAGGAACTAAACATGACCGATGTAACGAGAAACATTATTACAACGTGTAAACGTGCCACTCTTCGATAATTCCGATGAGGATTAGAAAGTATCTGCAATGCAGTGATTTTCATGACAATTTATGACGCGTTTCGGTAATTAATATTTTTAATTCAGTCTTAAGAACGAACTTTTAAAATACACAATACAGATTACAGATGATCTCGACTTCATTCGTGAGTGGAAAGGCGGCCATTACGAGGCTAATGCTTTACAGTCTTCACTAACAACGTTGGTTACTTGAGCAGAATTTTTGAAAGAAGACTGAACAACATCATGACTAAGAATTTAGTTAGGTCATAATAAAGCTAGTTAAGCAAAGTAAAGCTAAAGATAATCTAGACTTGCACAATAAGTGAATCATTACTATGCCTCACTCCGCAGTGTCAGTTATCGAAATGCACATGTCCCCACACACTCTCGCTCTTGTATAGCTGCGAGCTCGTGTTAGGAAGGTCACGGCTAAATGAAGTCTCTCCGGCGCCAGTAACTCAGATCCTGGTTAGTAAATAATTTCGCCTTCGTCGGCCTTCACCTCAAAAAATACAATTTCTCTCCAATCCGGGCAAACCAAGTTGCAAACTTCATGTAAATAAATGTCAAACATTAAACAACTCATTCAATTCTTGTCTCCAACTGCGACCGCATCTATTAGCACGGTGAACAAGGGATATAAATAAAAAGTTGAACGGCTTTCTACTTCCCGATAGTTCAATTTAAAACATCTGCTATTTTATTGTAGTGAAAATGAAAAAAACATATAATCTGTGTTAAGCGAAACATAGACGTGAGGATCTGATAGATGCCTGAACGCACACTAGTAGGTATATCAAGTTTCCATACACTTCCCAGGAATCGTGATGCTGCAATAAACTTAGCAAACGAGCAAAAACTTGTATTCTTGGAAACTTCTTTTCGAAAATAGCAGCACTCACGGTAAACTAACTTAACTTTTGTACGTGCACGCTATTGAAGAATTAGGAAGAACAGAGTTAAACACTGGCGGAAACATTGTAAACTAAACTGTTAAATCAACGTCAAAGCGGGATATCGAACTTTCTCGGCTCAAAACAGCAATTTTTCGGTCCAACAAAACTCAGTCAAGAAAGAGCGACTATCCGCGCCAATACACGAACGGGCTTGGCGCCTTATTGCAAAACATGAATTCATTATAGCAAAAATGTTGTGCTTGCAGCACCGAAACTTACGTACGTTTGTGCAATGTTTCCTCTCGGCAAGGTCACGTTACATGTTACTAAACAACAACTTAAGACTTAACTCAAACAAACGTTTATGTAGGCAAATTGAAGGGAAAATGTCAAAAGGATTCTACTTTTCCCAACAAAGAAATCAATAATTCTGCAACATGGTATATTGGTTAAAATAATAGCATGCACAATTTAGCGTTTAAAAGTTGGAAAACATCCACTTTCAGCATTTTGATTTGAGGATATATGTGATCATTTATTAAATGAATGTGCAATACTACGCATTTGTCTGGCAGTTCTCATCTTATTAATGGACAATGCATCGCCTCTACAATCTTGCTGTGGAGCTGATGATTGTCAATAGAATACAAATCGTCTAATGTCGCACTTGACTAGAAATCTAGTCGGAATAAACTCGCTCGTTTATGCTTCCTCCTAATTAACAATTTAACAGTGCCACAATTACCATAATAATAGATATACATACAATAATGGCCAAGCGTGCTTTCAGTTTTCGTGTTGATAATTCAGGAGCGTTAATTTAAATCGGCGATCTTTCCCGCCATGAGAGCAAATGGATGTTGAATCATAACCGGTAGGGCACCTTGCGCGATTGCATGCGTACAAGTCTAGGTGCGAGTCAACGGAGTCGTAATCATGTTCTACGTACAACTGGAGACAGCTTGAATGCAAGCTTTGTAGACACCTATAAAAAAACACAACTTCACGTACTAAGTTGTTGGATTGCACCGAGACTATGGCGTCAGCAACATACAAAGTAACAAAGAAATACACGAATATGTAGAAGCATTGCAAAGAGAGAGATATATTCAGTTGTCATAACAGCTCGCCACCGCTAACTTCACTGGTGGCATTCGTTCTGTACCCAATCGACAATATTTCTACTGTCGCAACGTAACAATTGGAACATATTATCATACAACAAATAAATCGGAAAAGAAAATAAGGCATGTTTCGCGCATTCTCAATACGTCCAATGGCAGCCTAACATTGAGAAGTAGCATCCGATAATTCGCTCACAACCACACTCGTCAGACGCCGCAGCAATACTAACCCATTGAACGAGTTCTAGACCGCGTACCTCATGTCGCCTCGATACTGAAAAGACGTCTCAACTTCTGCTACACGAGTCGTGTTGCAATGAGGTGGCTTACTTAGTGTTTGCCAGTCTTGGCAAAAAAATAGAAAAAAACGACCATAAGTTTTAGTTAAACAATATTAGATTCGCATCTTTTCCATTTAAATTCATTACAGCATTGCACGGATTGTATTTTACTTGTGTGAGTTTAAAGGTTCTCACTATGTTTCTCACGTTTATATTTGAAGCCCTCCGTAGACCGATTCGACACTTCAGCGAACTCGCCTGCGAACTCGCCTGCGAGCTCGCATGCAAAACCTAACTTCATCAATATCAATAAATTTTTTGTTAATACGGAAAACCTAACTTCATTTTCAACTGTGGCACTCATAACTCCTTCAATTATGAACGGATTTCATTCAAATTTGAAATATAAGTAGATAATAACATGACATTAACAATCGGTCCTCCGTAGTAGTTCTAAGCGTAAGTTAAAAAAAACTGATTTAAGAGGCCGCTCCAGTGACTCCACGCCTTGCTTCTATGAGGCGATAACATCTTAAAAAAGGCTCTTGCATTTAGGAGGCCGCTTTTGCCTTCCTCAAAATTATATTGGTTAAATATTTGTATATGTCTTCATCAAAGACCGATATGCCCATCTATCTACCGAAGGCGAATTGTTCAATATGTAGAATGAACCCTTGCGTTTACTTTGAAGCACCATATTAGCAAAATTTGCGATATTTATTACTATAAATGTGAGTAACTTGTTATAAATTCTTATCAAAAACTTTAGATTTCATATGACAGAAACAAATGTAATAAGGAACCATTATTTGTAATGTATTCCACTAACTAAATGATGACCTTGTAAAAATTTTAATCTAAAGAGAAGTGAAAAACCTCTTTATTGCGTTTATTTAGGCAGTTTCATTACGAACAGCTTCCTTTAGTACTCCCACAGGGATTAGCTAGTTATTTTTTTTATTACTTTCACAGTGATTAAGTATTTTTTTTAATACACAGTGATTTTTTCGAGATAGTTAATTAAAACTTGCGAATAATGCTAAATTTCCAACGGCATGTTAGCAGGGATGTGGTACAGGAGGCGCAGGTGTTGGCAACACCTGTGCAAGCTCAGCGCTTGCAGGTCTCCATAATTTTCCGGCATCGGCCGCGGTTAATGAGCGTTTTTTTTCAGAACTGTATTGTCGCATGATCTTTTCGTAAATGCTTACAAATAATTGATAATAATATGACAAATCCTTTGTTGATAGAATTTTTGTACTTCCTTCGATTTTAGAATTTTACAGCTAGATCGTCGGAACGTGGTTGAACAAGTACAGTGGCTGAGTGGGGGGAAATAAATATTCGTACACTTGAAAAATCGTATTTTAATGTATGTAAGTACACAAACTTAACAGGAAAAGTGATTTAAATTATGTATAGAGACGCATAGTATTCAATCAACTGTACTAAAAGGAACATTCAAGTGGCTAGCAATCTTCCTATAACTTTCTCCTTCCTTCCAACACGATAGAATTAGTTGTTTTTGGGAACTTGTTAGTACACTGTATATATAGTTCAACCATGCGTCGGAAGAAATATGAGTAGTTTCTCGATCGTAATCTGGTTGAAAGCCACCATAATATGCAAGACCGTCAGGGGCATGGTTGACCAAACCATGGTTGAACTATATTCTACTAGTTCAACCATGGACCAAACAATCATTGCAATACGGCATTGGACGGCGTTCGATCAGGTAGCTGTGAGTGAGGCGCGTGTGGCCGATCCTTACGACCTTAGCCTGCACAGTACTACCTCCATCTTCCGGGATTTCTGGTATGATGAACTCCAAGCTTGTACACAGTCCTTAATTGTTCTTATATTATTCACTTCTTATTTTATCAAATGTAAGTTATATCTTCCACAGGAATTCTTCTTCCATTAGCATACAATAGTAAATAGTTTTTATATCAACGGATTCGTGATGACGAGATTCTAAACTGCAAGAATTATCGATCCTGGGCAATATCGGTCTAACCTGCTAATTTAAAATAAACCACTTGCTTTTTCTTTTATAATTTGAACTTGTCAAGCTCGAGAAACTATAAATATATCATAGATAGCAAAAGAAAATTAACGTCTCTCGTCTGGAGTGCCATACCATGGAAAAATTTAGAATTTGAGTTAGGCCAGATGCCTGAATCTAAGATCAAATCTGTAACTGAGTATGACAAGGACAAGTTGCCTAAAAGATTCCGTATCAGAATTGAAGGGCATTAAAATACTTTCTTCTTCAGTAGATTTAATTTGAAGAGGAAGCATTAATGATCATCTTCGCTACCATCTTCTGAATCTGAGTCATCATCATCATCGTCATCTTCATCATCTTCAGAGTCAAACCATTCCAAGTCTTTAGGATCGAGAGGTTTGATGACACGCCATTCTTCCAGCTTGTTCAGATCTGTGCACACGAATGAATAAATGGTGAAGTACAAATCACATTTTCATCCTACGTAAAACTCACTATAGACTACACACAATCTCAGGGCCAAACCTGAGACTAATAAAGAAAGAATATGAGGTGAGCAGGCGGTTGGCTTGTGCGGCATGAGTGTGGTCAATTTAGCCCTACATAATAGCTTCAATACTCATTGAATATCTTCAATACTTCAATACACACTCATGTCGCTGATAAGAGAGATCAAGAGTTCAGTAATCGTAGCTACTAGGCTTAATATAATTATTCTTGGAAGAATTAGGCATCCTGGGGTCTGATTTAAAGACTAATTGTTCATTTCGGTCACGCAGTTAGCTCATGAAAAGAGATAATTATCGCGTGATAAGAATTTCAACACTTAAGACCACGTCAATGCTGTTCTCATCTACAAGCCCCAAGTTAATGTAAATAGACGAAGGGTTTGAGCAGAAGTCATTAGTTCTGACAATCATGTGAAAACAAAGTTCGAAACAATCTCGTATTAGCTAACCTAAAGAATAGAAGTCGTTGAGCGTGAGTTGCTTGTCGCCCTCCTCGTAGAGTCCGCCGTAGAGGTACAGCACGCCGCTCCTCACCGACAGGCCGCCAGAAATTCTCGGCGGAGGCCAGAAGACGTTCTTATCGGCCGCACGAGCCACGAGAGACGAGCCCAGCTCGTTGCTGGCTGCAGCACTTGTGCTGCTTCTCATGTCAACTGTCAACTGAAAACATAAATTCGACAGTAGCGAGTGAACTCTCGATTGCATTCAAGAGGCTCTCATGAAAAGAAACATAATTTTACCACAACTTTTATACTTAATTTATGACATGTGAATTTATTCTTAGTGAATACAGCATCACGCCAAAGAAATAGGAATAAATGATTGCAGTCACGAAGATAACACAATGATAGCCAACGTCTTTATGTTATCGCCGTTTTAATGAGTAAAATGGATAAGCTGCAAGTAACATTAAGTACCATCTTACCGTAAATATTCCATCCGTGACAACCGTGTGCACTTGTGGTTCCAAAGATGCTTTTGTAAGCTCTGCTGCAGCATCATCAGCTTCTTGGACGTCCTATGGAAAACAATCATCTTGTTAAAAATAACAGTTTAGAAGAGTACAATTCCGAACATAATTTCAGAAGTATGAATTCTCAGTCAACTGATGCAAATTCCTGGCGAGTATAACAAGAGAATTAATATATAACATTAATGCTTCTACAGTATAACAAGAGCTTCTACAGGAATTAATGTGCCAGAGATCGTCAATACTTAGTCTTGATGAATTTAGCTGGTCCTCGTGGATGTTTAATTCAAATTATTTATTTTACTAGTTTGTTTTTTCCTAACTTTTGGGACATCAGTGACAGTATCTTTACTAACTTGGTTTCCCGGGCATATTAATTTTTGAATGCATGGTCTAAGTAGGTCAACAGGAGCGCTTATTTGTTATTCTTCCTCATTACTCTATCATCAAAAGTTCCAAATTTTAAGTTTTTCTGTATTGCTTTCGAAATTAACGTAAGAGCGAGCATGAGCTAGGCGTAAACTCAGTGAGACACAAGAGAATGACAAAGCTGTATAACCATCAACAAGGCACGAGGTGGAGTGAGTCGCTATCTTCATTAAATCTCGTAACCGCCACGACCACATTTCGATCTCTGCAGTGCTTTCTATCCTTTAAGATAACGTTAGTAATACAACGTTCATACAAGTTATCTTAAAGACCAATGTTTGGAAATGAATAGACAGGATGCCATTCAAATTTTCAGCCTGATATCTTATTTACGAGTTGAATTTTAGCCAACAGACTTGGTCAAAGAATTCCCGTAGGTGACAACTTGGACTGCGTGGCAGCTAGCCGCTGTGATGCACGCTCATAATAAATGATATCTAATAAGCTGTCAATACCCCTTACATAAAACAATCTAAAATGCATTCATACTCTATAATCATTTAAAAAAATTTATAGAACACGAGATAAGTTTTAAAAAGACAGATATTTAATTTCCATCTATTATTTGATCAAATAAAAGCCACTGGGCACATTGATGCATGATTCAGTGTGCGTAAAACACTGACCGGCATCTCGACGTCGTCCTTATCTTCCTCGGCTCTTCTCCTCTTCTTCTCTTCGTCCGCTGCGCTTCGTTTGCCACTCAATTGCACTGAACGATAATCCAAGTTTATCAACATACTTCACTGAATATGAAATGAAACGAAGCTATTCAAATAACAGAAATTTTGATACAATAAAAAATTTTTTTTTTAAAAAGGCCTCGCACACTCACCATTCCACCAAAAAAAAAAGAATTGATTTTATTAATTAAAAAAAAATTAAATAAATTATAAATTTAATAAAATTGATTATAAATTTTGATTATTGCAACATTATAAATGTCAGCACTTTCAGTGCCAATACTTGACATGGAAACATTGAATTGTAAATGCTTAGTACAAACGATCATTTCTATTCTGAATTTTTAGTCCATCAACACTATTCTAAGAGATCAAAAACCCCTAATATTTCGCTGCCGCGTCTCCCCATCGGAACAAGCACCAACACAGGCTAGAAATATATGGTTATGTTGCTGCTCTTGCTAACGTATATATGTATTGTTGTTTGACTTTGAGCAGCAAGATGCGAAGTAATAAATGCAGCGAATTTTTCACATTAATGATCATAGAATGGTATAGAAATGATGTACTTCATCGTGACTGCGTAGAGTTTGTGTCAAGAAGGAACAACTCACACTCGACCCACGAGCCTCTGGTCATGTCAAGTAAAAAGAGGTCATTAAAAAACTCTCCTTCGAGCTTCTCATCTTCATCAGGAGGTTGAATGTCATTGACGCCACCAAAAAGAACAGCTTTATCTTGCCAGGTGCCGGCTTGGCCGAGGGAGCAGCACGCACTGAACGAGAAGGAACAGCGAGGAGGGTTGGGAACGTCCCCACTCTGCTTCACCAGCACCCACTTGTACTGCAGTCCCGTGGTGTCATGCTCTGCTCAGATAAACATTTCTTGATAAAAATACAAACATTTCATGTTCGCATTTTTAGTTCTCTTAAACAATTATTTAAATTCTATAAACATGGCATTTCAATTAGGTGGTAGAATATATCGGTATTAAATTTTTATTCCGTGATCTCTGCTCAGATGTGACAAACACTTCAACAAAGAGCAGGAGAGTAAAAATTTGCCCAGGGAAGCTCAATTCGTAGTCATGCTAATGTTCATAACTTAAAAAATTCGTGTTGTCTGAAATTTGACGGATAAGAAACAGAGGTACATGAATTTCATTGTGAATATAATTAACAGAGAGTAACATGAATCTAAGATACAACAAATCAACAATACACTGTTTAAACATATCAATGGACTATATTCTTAGCTGCAATGCGCGCACCTGTGCTATTGACTTGTACGTAAATATCTCCTTCTGCGTTATCATATTTGAGCACGAACAGATAAGAATACTAGCAAAACATCAACGTGGTTGTGTTGAAGGGCTCAAACAATTTAAAATATAATACTGACTGTTAGGCACCAAGTGGAACATATCCGTGTGGATGACGCCTGAGTCGTCTTTGGCTCCCTGCAGCTTTTGTCTGCTGTAGCCCCCATACACCAGCAGGCGGCCATCATTGAGAGCTGCCATGCCACATGCAGACCTCGCATCCGGCAATTTACCTGCCACACCAAATATATGCAAACATTATGACACATTCAAACATTTTATACAACAAAATATTGAAGAAATCACGCAGTAGCAAAGTAAACAAGATGAACAGTGATATGGAATATGTAAGCATACAAATACAGGCGAATAAAACATTATGAGATATTCAAACATTTTCCAGAGCAAAATATTCAGGAACAACACAGTAGCAAAGTAAACAAAAAGATGAACAGCGAAATGAGATAAGTAAGAACACAAATACAGGCGAATGAAACGAAATACTATTATACTGAAGTTAGTGAGCTCGGTGCGAAATAAGTGATGTTACATTATTCCCTTTGCACATAAATGACAGGAGCAAATAACAATGACCAACACACCTGAAATTTCCAGTTTTAACCACTGATAATTTTCTAAGTCGAAGGCATGTACGTCATTGAAGTATTTGTAGTCGAAACCATTGTCATGGAAGCCACCAAAAAGGAAGAGTTTTTTCTGAGACAGCACCATACGGTGGCCACTGCGGGCCGAAGGACCATCCTTTGCTCTGTAACATAAAATAAGATGATGATTTCGTAATAGCTTTACATTATCTAATTTATGACAGTATAATAGGCCATAAAATAAAGTTTTGAAAAATAATCTCCATAAAAACTCTTCTTATCTCTTCTATGAAATCTACAATACTATCTGAAATAAAATTAGAACAAAATATTACATTACCTTGTTCATAAATACATGAATGCAGCATTAATCTAAGAACTAAAAATTTGAAACAAAAAGCTTCAGCAATCAACAAATTTTTTATTCTACTGTATTTATTTGATTTTATCATTCAGAGAAAAAGTAAAATTATGAACTTGAAAACATACGTGATTTTCCTCCAAGTTTTGTTGGCAATGGAATAGACCCAGAGATCCTTGTAGTGGTAGAACTGTGACTGGGACTTGGATGTGAACTCGCCGCCAAACACCCACAGCTCTCCACCATTCTACATGAATTATATTGAAATTATAATTACATACATAGTTATATATTAATATAATATATAATATATTAAAATTAGGCATGGATGTGGATCCAGGAAATATTAAATGCAAGACAAAATTGAGAAAGTTGAATAAATATGAGCTATAATTGCAATAAATGAACAATTTACATCCTAAAATATCTAATACACGGTTTGCAGCAGGTACTATTTGAATGTTCTAATGAATATTGCTTCACACTTCTTTGCTCAGGCAAAAAAGGACTCTCATACTCTCTTCAATCACTTCACTTGAGACTTGACCACATTTTATCATATAATATATTTGTATTGTAACAAAGAAGATAGTATCAAAGAAACATTGACAGATGTCACTACAGGAGTGTAAGTTTTGAATGGCTAATTCTGTGGAGCTTCGTGTTATTGATACCAATAACAGACCTGTTGAACAGCCACTGTCTGATGAGCACATCTCGGAGGTGGCCCACCAGGACATCGTATGTCATGCCAACGATCTTGCTTGACTGTGTAGCTGTACAGTTCATTGTGCACCATTGTCTGGAAGCTCATAACAATAAGTTACTTGTGAACAAAATAAAAAAATTATCCATTGTAAATATTGTTGTAGGAGCAAATAGGTAACATGGTTGAAAGCATTGATTATTCCTCATAAAAACGTACAGTTTACAGTTTTCCTCACAAAAATATACAGTACACAAACAGTGTTAGATATTGCATAACCAGAGTCCTTCAAAGCATAACATGATATACGTAATTGCACTTACATTTATTCCATTGAAGTACTCTCCAGCCAGCATGAAGAGCTGATCCTTCTCAGGATGCATAGTGAATGAGAAAGCAGATCGTTTAGAAGGTGGAGCTTTGCAGAGTTCCACGACAACTTGCAGCTTCTTCTGATCTGCCTCTGCAAACTGTGCAAGCAGTGTGTCTATATCTTCCTGAAAAAAGATAAAATGAGGTCAGACAACACATCCAATCATGATCATTTTAATTTCTAATCAGTATTAAGAGTTGGCATCAGAGTAGCACATAAACTGAGACCCAACAAACAGGGCAATGCTGTTGAATCAGACACTCAGCTGAATTGTATATTTATTATCTTTCCTCAATCTCATCTAGACAAAAACCAAGTTTAAGTTACTTTGCAGGTGGTTACAGGAAACAGGTGGTTTTCATATGGCCAGTGACAGGTCAGCAGTTGGTTGGAGATTATTGGCTCTGACTGTCTGCACACCATCTTTTACTATATACTCTCACTCGCCCCAATAAATCAGTCTTTGGCCAACTGCCAAGTATTTTAGATAAGTTGTCTATAAACACATTTCTTGACAGAAATCTCTTACCAGAAATTTCATGTCAAATAAAGTTTGCCCCCAAGTTTAGGATAAATTGTTTTTCAGTTCAAAACTACTAAGACAATGTTGATCATGGAACAACAGCTTTGGTAATTATTTTAGAAAAATATTGCTACCACCTTTAGGCATCAAAAATTTGTAAAAGACACTGCATCAACATCATGAATTTCCACTGCAGTAAATAATAATTCCCAAGCTGTTATAATTTTTTTGCTATTAAAAAATGATGACAAATATTACCCTAGCCAAATAAATTGCTGGAATATCATTTCATGAACTTAGTGAAAAAATGCTTAGAAATAAGTACAACCAGTCTCAAAGCTCACAGATATGACAGAGATTCTTAGAACTTACACAATTTATTGTAAGCCCATTTGTGAATTCAACAGTTAATAGAAAAATCAACATAAGAATCAGAATAAAAATAACAGAAGTTAAGTTCAATTAATAGTAAACACTAATAGTTAACACTGTTAAATTTTACTTACCAAAAGCACAAATATGTTTTTTAATTACTGCATTGTAGTATTGAGCTATTTAATTGCTCAGTCAAAAAAAATAGATGTATAAGTAAATAAAATAACAATAAATTGTGCACCTCATAAATGCACACAGCTCTGGCCATCTGCTGTTGGACTCACCTCTCCCTTTGATTGCAAAGTTTTCTTTATCTTTAGATTGGTTTTCTTTTGTGTCTTCGCTGCTGTTTTCTCTGCTCCTTTTCCTTTCTTTTTATCTTTCTTCCCCATTATGATTATGAATTTATAGATAAAACTGATAGATTTAGACCTGAAAAAATACATTATACATTGAAATTTATACTTTTAAACAGAAAACCTAATTTTTCAATTGAATGGAGCTGCACTATAGCGTGTAAAATATCCTTACTTTGAGCCATGACTGGACTGTTGTAGCACTGAATATATTAATTTACAGTTGTGAAACAAACATTCTGAGCCTCAAGTTTTGTTTTTAAGCAAGGAAGACCATATTTGAACAATAACAAGTTTTGCAGAAAATATTAGCAAGATTATTGGAATAAACCTAATCTAAGTCGTTGCTGATAGGCTAATATAGCGCTGCATGGGATCTCTCATATCAAAACCATTCATTTAACCTGTTAAGCAGACAGGGTAAATACTGTCAAATGGGTAATAAGGGATGGGCGGGGTAAATAGGGACAGGGGGGTAAATAGAGACAGTCGTCCCACATTTTGTAGAAGTGTTGTGGCAGCTGAACTAATCAAAATATTGCAAAACTAAAAATAGTGGTATAAAGTTCAACATTATTACTATCTATGTAGCATAAAGCAAATTAAGAAATCATACATTTACTACCTCTAAAAAATCCCTGAAAAATGTGAGAAAAGTGAGATTTTGGAAAAGTACCTCTGCTAAGGTCTGCAGCAAAAAAAAAAATATTGCCATATTAAAAAATGTTGCTTACATAAAAGTTACATACAGGAGTTGGCTTAAAAACGTGATTGACGGAATTTGCGTATCTCATTCCAAAAAAAATGGTGGCCATTTCTGAGCAACGGGTAATAAAGGACACCCCTAAAAACCCATTTACAGTAGAACCTTGATTAGCAAAGGCTCCAGTCAATCAAAAAATCAATTAACAACAAATAATTATGATTACATTTACCTTGCTCAGGGAAAAAAATTTCATTCAACAAAAAATTAATGCATAATCAGTCGTCACAAAATTGTGCATAGAACATCATAGATAGAATTGTGCACAGGGCAACATTGAATGAAGAGTAATTTACCTAAACAATGATTTATTTCTCCAAGAAATATTATGGTTGTCATTAAAATATTCCATCCAGTTTCAGGGTTGTTGTAAATGCACAATGGCTTGTCCATGAATACAGTAATATCATATCAATAATACGATAATATATAGATATGGTAAAATCATATCAATAATGGAAAAACGAGTAAAAAAACACAAAAAAATATAATTTATTCTACATCTACAAAGGAAGAGGAGGACTTCAGAGTACTGTTAGTAATGGAGGAGTACACTTAGCATGCGTCAAATGTTTTAAAATAGAGTTTTATTCTAAGTGTCCCAGACTACCCCGTTCCCAGGGGTAATTTGGGACACTTTTATTTTGCATGTGGCACCTTACAAATAGCCTATGGAATTTTTTTGGAGATGCCATTCAATAGCCCATGGAAAGAGCTTTAAAATGAGTTTAAACTTGTTTATGAAATGTTCAATGGTAAGAAGTTATTAACGAAATGCTCAAAAGTTAAAACCGTCCCTTATTACCCTGTTTGACAGTAAATTATGCATGCAACTACAATGATGGGTGCTGTGACCTTAACCATTGGAATAAGACAGGAATAGAAATAGTACTAGAATACCTCTATAGTTATACTATAGAGACTATGTTAAGAAGCCTTTCATTGCATTGCTTTTTAGAATCACAATGGTTGGGTTTTATCATAAAATGGGTTTTGATAGCTTTTAATGAAATTATGTACCTGATGAAAATTATGTACCTGAAAGAACAATTATATTGATAAGAATATTAGTTATTATAAATACAGACTTAATTTTGGTTTTATTATACTGATATAAGAAGGTACTAAAAGGTATGTACTATTAACAGTTTTTGATGCAAAAGATTGTGCATTGCTCTGTTGCAGGGTATGTACAACTGCCTAGAATTAAACTTTTGCTAAAAGGTAGATTACCCAGATAAAAGGTAGATTACCCTGCTAGAGGCCAAAAAGACGTAAACATTTGTGGAGCACACAATAAATAAAATATTTGTAAATAAATCACTACTGAAGTTTGAGATCAACCTTTTCAGTCTAGCACCATTTTGATTTTGTCACACAATAAAAATCTGTATTTTAGGAAATGAAGCTAAATGAAAATTTTGAAGTTTAATTTTCTTCTTGCTAAGCATCAATTTAGTACATGGCCCCTTCTGCGTCTGCATTGCATGAAACGCAGATTTCTAATAGCTAATCTGGCTAATCAGTAGTGGCCAAGACTGCCAATTGAATTGACAATTGTCAATCGCCAAACATTTTCTGTGTTCAGATTCAGAACTTCCCCAGATATGACAAAGAACCCGAATGAAATAATTTACAGCGCCTTTAAAAAAATCAAAGGTCTCAGTGTAAAAAGATGCTACCAACTTGATACCAAATCATAACTGAATAATAGAAAATATGAGAGCCAACACAACATATTGTTGTAGTTGTAATTGAATTAATTCAAATTTCGAAACAGCCTAACAGGTCACAGGAATGGGAATTTGTGATGGTGAACCCAGAACCATTATATTAATTAACAAAGTTATAGTTGTAAAATGTGCACTGAATTTTCATTTTTGAACGTGTCTAATAATGGATAGGGTAAACGCAGTATATTCCGACATTGTGGGTACCGTAATTCCGACACTTCTCGACTTTTTTCCTATATATTAGACTTTTTCTTAGTTCCATGCATTTGTTGATGGTTGAAATAGTGACATCATACTTTTGCACACCATACTATTGCCAAAACACTAGGTCTGGGCCGTTTGGCAGGAAAATGTTGAGATCCAAAAAGAGGCAGTGCCCGTCACTCAGTGAGAACATTGAAAAATGTGTCAAAGTTGATAGTTGACCTTGCTCTACCAAATAGTGATAAACTGTTTGTGTAGAAAGAATATTATGGTTTGAGACTTTTAAATACGTCTGTGAATGTATTAGGAATCCTTTCAGTACACTTGTATTTGCTGATTTCAAGTGGTAAAAAAATTAATAGAAGTTAAGAGATGGTTTTAGATGCATAAAAACTAATTTGCGTGTGCGCCAATAACGTTATTTTAGCTCTTTGTACGCCAGTAGAAGGGCTTGGAGCCTCGTTTACGCCAGATTAATCCGCGGAAAACGGCACCATCCTGGGTATGGTCAGTTTAGCAAAGGCAGTGACGGTGTGACCCATCACTATAAGCAATTGTAAATGATTGATTTTCTATGTGTATGTTGCATGTGCGTCAGATGTGCCATGGGGATGGGCATGGGCATGGCATGTGAGTCAGCCTGTGAATGCTCTGGTTGTTTTAGATAAGTTCTTTGAAGCGGCTCTTCTGCGGTCGCAGAAGAGCCGGACAGCCGGTGGCTAGTGGGCGGTGTCCCAGTCTGAATCAGAAATTGACAAACTGCCCCGGTCTCGGTGCCCCCCCCCCTTACGCCGCTCATGCCGTCCTGCTTCTGGCGACGCCGACGCAACGCCCGCGCTCACCAGCATCCTTGAAAGTTAAGATGAGGAGATTCTAGGCAGTCTAGCCACAAGCTTCTGCTTAATAAGTTCACACACCTATCTATTCTATCAATATCAAATTATCAACTATATATACAGATTTGTGATTTGCACAGTCGGGCATGGCGCAAAATAACTTACGCCTGTCTTCAACCGTGGCTGTAACCCCACAGCAGCTGAGCAGCACAGAGCTGACAGGTGCTCAGGATTTCCCGGAACATATGAAACGAAATAGATATTGTTGTACTGACTAAAAAAAAACATAACCAGAATATGTCCGGGTCCGGATTTTAGTCTGTACCAACAATATTCTCTTCTTCCCAGGGAGATGATGGAAAAATTTACGGGCTATGTTTTTTCTTATTTAAAATTCTCAACTTTGTCTGGCGGCTGGCAGTCTGTCTGCCTCTCTTCCTATTCGTGCACCGGATGTGGTGTTTTAACAGTGCAGAAGAAAAAGACAGACTGACCGAAGGAAAGAATTATTTATCAAATGTTTCGTTTTACGTGATAAGTATAAAATTTAATTCCAAGTTTTACTCGTTAGGACTATGATTCATCTTGTTAAAACATCGGTTTCATTGTATTCAAAGAGAGTATAAATATCTTCTCAGTTGCATATCATTGTATGCGTAATACGTCTCTTATCTTACTGAAAATAAAGACAATATTTCAGAATGAAACATGTATGACTGCTTCTTGCGACCACAGTTCTGAATTTAAAGTTCTAGAACGTAAAATAACTATATATATATATTTCGATTGTATATTATCGAAATATATATTAATATTTCGATTGTAGCAACGTTGAAAATTTGATTTAGACACATTTATGCATGTATCCACTGCATAGTGGATCCATGTGATAAAAGTTTTTCTATAGTAGACAAGCGTTTCTGGAAAGAGATTCCAACGGAAAGACGAACCGTTGATCCTGTAAAGTTTCTTTTAAGTTTTGTGTCCTTCTCAAACTTTGAATTTTGTAGCTATAAACCTTACTCGTTTATACGACACGTCATTCTGTTATGGTTGAGTCAATTACAATAATATCCAAGACGCTCTAAGATGCAATTATTCCGTGTGATGGAACCTTACTAGAGGTCCTTGATTTTTCTAACTTAAAAATGTGATGTTTTATGAATCGAAAAAATAAATGGAGCGCGGTGTTGTAATTTCTTCTGCGTCTGTTCCTGACCTCTATAGTATATTAAATCCAGCCTCGCTGTAGCCAAAAAGTTTTTGAAGTTGTGATCAAAATTAAACCGGCGAAGAACCTTCTCCGTGCTAACGTTTCACTCTCTCTAAATTGCAAAATATTAAAGATATATTATTTTTGAATAGTATGTATTGTCGGCCAATATAATTTATTTACACCTACGGTGATTAACCTTCCTTTTACTATCAATTGAGTTTGGATACGCCTCACTTGAGCGTCTGTAGCTAACTTGTAGTAACCGTTATTAAAACCATTATGTACAAGTGTTTTATCGTTGATTCGTAATACATATGATCACAGAAGTAGCCTTACAAACTCTAGTGTTCATACTCTTGCTAGAGCGCAATGCTCAGATAATAAAAAAAAATTACAGCAGTTGAATATATGGGTAAAATGAAATCAATCTCAGTTGTACCTTTAAGAGTAGTTTCACTAGTAAAAATAAAATTTAATACAACATTTATATAAAATAAATGTTTTCAAATAATACCAATATTCCGTTTATGATTAACTGAAAACCAAATCCAAGCCTGGACTTGTATAGGTGTGCTTATCCATATGAGCCTAGCTGATGTGACGACCGAGTCGACAGAGGTTCCTGAATGATAATTATCCAGGAAAAAACACCCTCTCTATCTAAAAATGAAGATAAAATATGATTTGTGCTGTGTATTATACAGACGAAACATATCGGTCACCTCGGCAGATAATGTTAACAAATAATCAGAACACATACGTATAGACGATATAAACGAAATATATGCTTACTCCACAGGGGGCGCCGCGATGGCGACTAACAAAAAATTGCGAAAACCGGCGAGTCATAACATCATTTAAAAAATATTATACTGATTTGTGTAATATAATCGCATTTACTGAACATAAAAAAATGTTAGCCATAACTACGCTATTGACATTAATCATAGGTTAAACTTGTAAACATCAGACGTGTGTTTCATCACTGCCAACTCCGTTATCAACATTCGTCCATTGCTATTGGTGAATTACTATACAGAGTTACATCTCCTATCACCGCTTATATTCTCAAATTTAGCGAGCGAGTTTCAACAACCGAAATTGGATTACTGGTGAAGCTTGCATAGCAGGAATAATATGTTTGGTGAGCGATTTATTCCTCAAATACTAAACCTGAATAAAACAAGAAGTAACTAATAATTTAAATTTAGAAATATAATTAATGCGATTTAATTTTTACCAAATAATTCACTAGGTACATATTAGTTCTTTATGATAGAGCTTACCTCAGCGATCAAGTTCAACTTTGTTTCTAGATATCAAATAATAGAGCTAATGCACAAAACAGAAAATATTTTCAATCAGAACAGATTATTTAACTGCCAAGTCTGAGCAAATAGACACGAATATTAATTAGCAAATAATAAGGGAATGCTTTGAAATGCGCGATGCTGATTAGAAAATTATAAGGCATATACAGAGCCGGGCAGCGCTACTTTGAAATGTAGCGCCGCTACAGCTACATGCTCTATATGTAGCGAGCGCTACCGCTACACCCACTAGATTGTAGCGGGCGCTACCGCTACAGTAAAATGTAGCGCCGCTACAATTGCCAAAATTATTGGAAATCTCTAAATATTTATTGTTCTGCTATTGGGATTTACTCATAAACATTTAATGATAATAAAACATTTTCAAAACATATCAATGCAACTTTATTGCAATTAACCTAACCAATTTAGTACTGGATAGATACAGTAAATAAAAGTTAGTTATTTACTTATTTTTATGTTTTACCTTCCCTACATGGATGTCTACTTTAATCTACCAATCTCATAAACATACATATAAAAAATCTGTCTGTATAATTTTTGAGATTGGTAGATTAAGTAGACATCCATGTAGGGAAGATGAAACATAAAAATAACTGTGTAAAAATAACTGTAAGCAAACTGAAACATGAATAAATACCTGTAACATTTACTCGCAAGTCGTAAGCAAAGTGAAATATAAAAATAACTAACATTGACTCGCAAGCAAACAACACGGAAAAATATTTCCATTTAATTAAATTTTTTCTTTAAAAAATGCCAGCATTTCAAATGAACATCCGACAAGATTAAACGCATTGGCTTTAGGATATCCTATCCCAAGGAAAACATCCTCTCCACCGCAGCACTAGAAGGGAGTGGAGTATTGTACTCTACAAAAATCTCACGGAACGGGTTACAGGGAAATGATTCAGGAGCAGGTAAAGCGGTGCTTAGCGGACTTTGTTCACTAGTCGACTAATTGTTCACTAGTCGACTAATTGTTCACTAGTTGACTAATTGTTCACTAGTCGACTAATTGTTCACTAGTCGATCTCCTTCATTGACGTGACTGTGATTTCGTGTTGTCTGGAGTTCATTAAAGAACGAATCAGCATTCTCCTCATCGCTGCTGCTGCTGGTAGCTTGTGTAATTGTGTCAGAAAGCTTCCCATCAACCAGAGAGATCATTTTCTGCCTGACCTCTCTCAGTTTAGATTCGTAAAATCTATCAAGTAAAATCTAGGATTCTAAAAATTAAATAAAGTAAAAGCTAAAAAGTACTATTAAGTAAAATCTAAAGGCTTTATCCATAAATGTAGCGGTAGCGCTGTAGCGGCAAAACCTCGTATCGCTACTTAAATATGCAGCGGACGCTACCGCTACAATTGCTTAAATGTAACGCCGCTACCGCTACTGAAAATGTAGCGGCGGCTACATGTACCGCGCTACTGGCCACCTCTGGGCATAGAAAGAGAGAAGAGATGACGGTCCAATTTTTAGTAACGGCATCTGACTCCCTTGAGTCTGAGGTTTGCTGTTAATACACAGCGAAACTATGGCTTCAATGCTCTACAAGTTTGTATACGAGAGCTTTGTATGACCGATATCTCTTGACGTTTAAATGCAATAAAGGCTTCTCAGCGTGATACTACTAACTCAGGACTAGGTCCCCTCTGCCGCTTGACATGAGTAACCGGAGCAATATTGTCACAAGCCTACTTCCCGAAAAAAAGATACGTTCTAGTGAGCGCAAAATGACTTGCACAGATGGTTGCCGCCACGCCCAATTTAAAAATCTTCTCTGTTGCGTTCAAACGTCCTCAGGTTAATTCACTCAATGATTTACGAATAATTGTAAGAATTACAGTTTGAGGGCATTAATCGAGTCTGGAGCAATTTTCTGTGCAAGACATGCTCATTGCAACTTTCAAATTCGATTATACAATTTTTTTTCTCCGTCTCGAAGAAAGCACATTTACTCGGTCCTTTCAACTTAGTTTTTTGACTCATGTTAAAGGCTAAAGAATTCTGTTGGCACAATCAAAATTTTATTCACGTTTGACTCAGATAAGTGAATTCCTTTCAAAATATCAAGGTTCACTGAATATCTTCTTCAACTTTGAAATGTATTGATCCATTGCTGCCAAGGAGGGGGGGGCTGATCGCGGAAAATTATTCAAATTTAATGTGGGCGAGTAACGTAACTCGAAGCTTTGGAGCCACTGCCGAATTAATTTTATATTTACAACACATGTCATTGAAAAGGAATCAGGAGAACTGAATTTCACTCTATAAGATTCAGCAAAAACAATAATTAGCGCGACCTGTAACGACGAAGACGATACAAGGAAATGAAGAAGCGGAATTAATTTCCGACAACTTTATGTATAAAAATAAATACATTCAACGATTGATCCAAGAATGCTTATAACTAATGAAAAATGGAATGTAATATATACATCACCGAGAGATATTGACGCAAATTTGTAACTAATTAAAAAAAAGACTAGCGATTTCTATATTTAATCGACTTCCTCCATACGCGAGTCATCGGGTTCATCTCCCTCAAGAGGCGGCATCTCTTCGCTCGCTGGCGCCTCGCCCTCGACAGCCTCGTCCTCATCCTCGACTCCGAGGCCAAGCTTGATCATCCTGTAGATACGAGAGGCGTGCACCGTAGGATCCTCGAGGGAGAAGCCAGATGACAGCAGCGAGGTCTCGAAGAGCAGCATTACGAG